AAAAAGAAAGAAAGAAATAACAACGCGAAAGAAAAAAGTTTCACTGAAATTATTGTAGTAATTTGTTTAACTGACACGAGAAAAAATCGTTACTTTCGCTTACGTTCAGCGTCCATAAAGTACACAATATGCAATGCAGTTCTTTCGATTTGACGGCAAACAAACATTAGCTAGTCGCCGTAGTGCTCTCGCTCAAAATGTTAAAAAAAGATCATCAATTATTATGAAAGAGTAGTTTGCGAAGCGGCCAAAAAGGCGTTGAAAAATCAGAACACTAGCCCAAAAATTTGGAACAGTACGGAACATCTAAACATTTAGATATGTAGATATCTCAGATATAGAGGCTAAGGTAATTCAAGAAGAGAAACTAGACGAAAAAATAAAACCAACGCAAAAATAATCAGTGCAAACAAGTCGCAATTATCTATTTTGTATGGATTTATTTCGTTTGAGCCGCGTGTGTGTCGAAAGCAAATTAGAGCAAAGCATGTGATCATCAACGTAAATGAAACCTGTATTTAAAAAATAAAGTCATTCGAAGCGAACCATATGAGCAAGAGAAAGATGTAATCGATTCGTCTTATACAAATTATGTGTGACAATTATAGCTGTTCTATGGATTCGGTCGCATTGGCTTGCGCCATGGAAATGAGCACAGGAGCTCTCATTAGATAAGAAAAAGAATGGCCGTTTTTTTCTTATTCTAAAGTTTTTTTGAAAAATGATGACTTCATCTATATGTTTCGCTGTTGAGCTCATTCCATTTTTGCACTTGAGCTACCGTTGACACAGAAATGGAACATCGATGGGCGGAAACATGATCAATGAAACCTAGAAAATGTCCGGTACGATGAAGTACATCTTTTGAAATCAAAAACTTACCGTTGAAAATGAGCAAAAAACACATCGAAATCGCACATTTTTGATGATCGCAAAAGAAGGAAAGAGAAAAAGAATGAACTCACAGCTTCAAAAATGCATGAAATGAATGAAAAAATTTATTTCAACATAAAAATTTCATATAAAGAATGTGTCAAATGGAGAAAAAGAAAAGGAGAATGCTTTGGATTGACAAAGAAAAAAAAATGAATTTTTTTACCAATGAAAAAAAAAAATGAAAATTCCAAAAGAATCATTAATCTCGCACCGAAAAGCAAAAGTTGAAAGAGAAATGAAAAAAAAACTGCATAAATTTGCGTCGATCAATTGATCTCGGTTTGACAAGAGTTTTAATCGAAATTCAGCTTCGAGTCAAAGCCAACCAACTCTCACCTTTTTCGGATTCATTTCTTTGCTTCTTATTCATCCCATTGAAAGAGCATCAATTACGATTAAAAGTAGAAATCTTTAATACGCATTAATTCGATTCGAAATGGGTATGTATAGTCTCTGAATGAAAAGCCTCACAGAACGTATATGTTTCGTATGATTTCAACATAAATCAAAAGCGATGTCGTTGAAAGAATCCAACGAAAGCAATGACAGAATTAGTGAATGCAGAATTGTACAATCGTGCAAAACAGATACCATTCAAGTCGTACAAAAGCTATCTGCTTGGATTTGCTTGGTTTGGTTTTGTGTTTAAAGCGTACGCTCAACGGCAATATTGGCTAAACAAATAGCAGAAGAAAGGAAAACAAAAAACAAATCCGAAGCGATGACTAGCACTATGATCAAGATCATTATAACTTTATAACTGTACACCATTCATGGTCTACATAATTTTTGAACGCGCACAACAACAACAACAAAAGAACCAGCAGCTCTCAAGACATTGAAATTCGTAATGGAGATTGTGTTTAAATCCATCCAAAGTCACTGCAGAAAAAAAAAACTGAAGCTGAAGAAGCGAATAGAAGCATCAAAGCTATATCATAATTGTAATTGTGTGAGCGACCGGATCGCGTTTAGTGCGTAAATCTGATCGGTACACGAAAAAAAAAATAACACATGTAAGTGGAGGCAATGGATTAAAGCAGAAAAATGGATGCGAAACGATAAAGATTTGCGGCGTGCGATAAACACAAGAAACACGCTCATAATTTTCTACAACTGAATCGGATTTCTAATTAGCGTTCCACACATTAAGTGTCACTGCAGCAATTTTACATTTTCTTTTCACTTTAATAAATGTTATTTATACGCGATCTATGACATCTGCTTCCCCAATTTCGGTTTATCTGTTGGCGTGTTCCGTTTTGTTGAGCGCGAGCGTTTGCGCGCGCGCGCGTACACCGTATTGCAACCAAAGAGTACGTGTTTCCATTAGCGCGCACGCATTTTGAGTCAATGAGTTTCGAAGAGAGACTGGGTCAATCGATTGAAGCGTAAATCATTCGAATGTTTTGAATGAAACACACAAAAACTGAATTTTTATTCATTCTGTCTTTCATTTTGCCTGCGTAGCTCTTTCTTTTTTTTCTCCATGGAACTAAATTACGAATCGCAGAAATGGATGCGAATACATAAGACTGAGAGAGAGAGAGAGAGAGGTAGACGTAATGAGACGATTAATTTTGCATTTCGTCGACGCAAATGACTCTATTTCGGTTTAGATGATTCATAATTTAATTTGGTTGTCATGCCACATGACGCGCATCGATTAGAAACAAAAAAACTAACTCATTTCACTCGTCGGCTGTGATTGATAATGGCAAATGAAAGAAGAAGAAAATTCGCTGTGTACGTTCCATTTGCTTGAGTCACGTAATTTTTTGCACTTCGATAGGCAAATGTTCTCTCTTGGTTTCGGTGTGTTTAATGAACGGATGAAATAGAAAGTAATTAAAGCGACGAGGTAATCGAAATGAGTGAAATTGATGCTGCCAAAAGTCAACCAATTACATTCGCTTGCGACGTGTCTATTTGAGGCAAGCTACACACAGTTCGGGCGAATGCCTTCCGAAGAAAAAGTCATTTTCAATCATCGAAAATATTAATTGGTGTTTTTTTCCCTTCAATCGGATTTATATTGGTGACGTGCAAAACCAATTTCTTCTGCTGTAGTGATTAACTAAATGACTCCATGGAAAAAAAACAGCCATTCGTAATAACCACAGATTAAAAAAAAAACTGTGGAGTCACATAGATTGAACCGATTGTTTGAATAACAAATATGACTTTTAGTCAGAGATTCCAAGACTCGATTGAAAATGCCAGACACAAAATCATGCATCGAATGATTGATTTACTTTGATGATTGACAACAAAACTCCAAATCGACCGCAAGAAAGTGCCGCCATTGTTGCCAACAACAAAGAAGTATACGTAGTTTTCCTGGCTTCTTTTCCCAAATTGAAATCGAATTAGCAATGTTTTTTTTTCAAGCTAAATGATTCATTGTGCGCGCACACATTTGCTAAATCATCGATGAACAGGCCAATCAGTTTGGGGTCAATAAAATTGATGATAAAACAACTAGTAATCGACCGAATGAATCGAGTCATTATGTCTAATTTAATTAGAAAATTTTCACCACGTCTGACGTGGTTGGGAAGTGAAATGGAATTTTTGTGTTTGTATTCGAATTTAATTAATGTGTTTTTGACGAATTAGATGTTTTTGGGCGGAACAAATTGTCAAACGATTGCTAGAAAGTTCGGCCAGTGATAGAGAGAGATTGAGGGAGAAAGACCCAACAAAAAAAAAATCAAACAAATTTAAAAATTATTCGTCATAATTATTCGTCATAATTATCTCGTTCATAATTCAATTTATGGCACTTTAAACATTCCAAACCTTAATGGTGTGTGCAGTTGAAGCCATTGCATTTCACCCCGAAATCATTATGCAAATGTGCAGCAGCAGCACCTCCAATTAGGGTTACGACGATGTATTCAACGGTGAGAGATAGAGTGACGGCGTTTGTGTGTGTGTTATGAGTGTTTCGTCAGACGAAGCGCTGTACAAGCATAAGGATAGCGGTAACGAGAGCGGTGAATTGTACATATTGTTCTGATAGAGTATGTTGCAGTTCAGCTTCGCATTCTACCGTTCATAATTATGTGGTCGTGAATGTACATCTCTTGCAATGGAACAATAACAAGAAAAAAAAATTAACACCGTAATTATGAACGGAACGTACATTTATTTCCGCCATCGTTTGTTCATTTGGCTCTTTTCTTTGGATTTGTTTCCATATGTGCATGTGTTTGTGAAACATTCGACGGACATGCACACTGCACTAAACATACACACCGACAGAGACATATAGAGAGAATCACACGTGTTGTGTGATCGGTTCCATTGACTGTGGCAAACACGATGATTAATACGTTTCCTATTTTCTAACAACAACACATCTAACACGCTCTCGGTTCTATGATAATTCGATGTATTCACATTCCATCGACAACATACATTTTTCAGTTAAACTCACTCAATTTATCATTCAATACCTATCAATTAAACCGATCATAATGAATGCCAGAACAATAAGAATTGGGCGTAAAACCCAACAATATTTATCGTAAATTACATTGACGTAAAACTGTCATGACATTGTGTGTGCGAGCCGTTTGTATATTTCGAAAGATAGCGCTTACAAATGAATCTCTTGCTGTAGGTTATTGCCGCTAGTGAAGGAACAAACAACGAACGCTCAACATTGTATGCACCACAAAAATGCCAAAGATTATTAAATTAACGATAAGAACGCCGCTTAAATTATTTTGCTCAGAATGTTCATTGCCTACATTGTTGTTGAATTTGCCACGGTGACGAGATAGATGTGAATGACTCGAATATTTCGTTGCAGTTTATGGGGATAGAGAGATAAACGACCTTCATCGTCGATCCGTTCCACGCATATTCGATTTTTTGTGTGTGCCAAACACCTTATTATTATTATTACCGACATTAAATTTTCGGAGGTTTCCAGCGTCATACCCAAATATGGTAGATGCATTGCAATTAACGACGCCACACTATTATAAATTGACGAATTTTATTTTGTGTAAATGTTTTATGAATTTTAATTTTGGTTTTATTTTCCGTTGCAGTATTGAATGTGGCGGCTGGTAAGGCACCAATGCAAATATCCACCGAAGGTGCTGGAATTCCACAAAAAGCCATCGATGGATCAACATCAGCCTTTTACACACCAGAAACATGCTCGTTGACCAAAGCCGAGCGCGTCCCATGGTGGTATGTCAACTTATTGGAACCATACATGGTGCAATTGGTTCGATTGGACTTTGGTAAATCGTGTTGCGGTAAGCCGTCTTTTTCATAACTTATTTCATTTCTTTCATCTGTAATTTTTCGAATTTATTCCATTTCTTTCATATCTGGTTTTTTTCGCCTCTTTTAATCTATGAATAAATAATCGTTTTTCTTCTCGAAATTTCCGACGAATTTTTCGTTAGATTGAGTAATTCAAATTTTTAGCGAAAGCATTTCGAATCGTAGATGAAAATGGTTTAGCAAAATTTGAATGGATTTATGCGTCGTTAACTTGTTACAATGTGCCTGAAATACGCACATATTTTCACATATATTATTTATGACGATGGTCGCGACTAAACAGATTAAATCAATTACACGTTCGTTACTCTTGTTTTTTGAGTCAAAGAGTGTAGATTTTGTCGCGGTTTCGGACGATGGCGCCTATTTACATTAAAATTTAATAAATTATTTCCGCTGAACGACAACAGTGATTATCGTGTTTGGTATGCGCATGCAGATATGCGGTTATATCCCATAGATGGAGATATTTTGAATTCAAACCGAAAAGAAAGGGGGTCGTAAAGAATTCTTTTGAGTCACTCTGCCGATTGATTGAATAAAATATTCGCGATTTTCGATTTCGTTGCGCGTCGATTTGTGTGGGCTGAGAGACACACTGACCATTCCCATGTGTACTCATCGATCATATTTGAAGATTTTGATCCGTGTCGCACGTTCAAAAGGAAAATTTCCAAACGATGTTTGTTTCGATTGTCGATTTGGCCGAGACACGGCTCCAGTTTCTAATGCCAATTGTTCATTAGAAATGTATGTTTCGTTGGGCACGGCGATAAGTGAAAGTTACCGAAGCGTATCCGTCGTAGTGAAAGCATTTCGTCTGTAGCCCGAACCATCATTAGCATTTTATAGAGGAGAAAAAAAAATACAAGTACACAATTTGAAACAAATTCAAATCAACATCTGCATCTGCAAAAATATGCTCGCGCGCGCGCGCTTTGTGTCACAATCGTTCCACAGTGCAAAAGCGACAACTGCGCAAGCGCACCACACATCGCTCAAAGAGACAGAAATGCCTTGTGTGTAGAATTCAAAAGGTCCGAATCGCGGCGAATAAAAATGATTGCTTGATTTGATAAAAAAAATTGACGGTTTAACTTTCAATTTGCGGTAGAATAATAATCGCATAAACATCTTGCTCCCATTTCAAATGCATATATTTAATTAAATTATAGCCAATTATTGAATAACGTACAGCAACCGAGCTAAGCTCTCCCAATGCAAACGCGGCTCATACTCATATATATGCGGTAGTCGGTAATTTTCTCTTGTACTATATATTTTCTCTGCGATCCATTTGGTTGTTGGGCCGTTCGATCGGCAACTGCGTTTGAGGAAAAACAGTTAATTGGTAACATGGAATGTTATAACAAAAAATTGAAGTACCTCCCGTCATTAGTGATGAGTCCAACATGCAAATCGTGTGATTTGTGACAGTTTTGAAATCGTTGATGGAAAAGCGGAAAAAACACATTGAAAACCAATGCAGCTCTTCTGTACCATCAAAGTAAACGAAATGGGCTCGATACGCTTCTCACCATCATCGAACCGTCGTTCATTGCATAAAAACCAAATTTTAACCGACGGTCGTAATTCAAACTCAAAAACTAAGCGAAAAAATTGCTCGAATACTTCGAATTCATGTCAACAATTAGCACACTCAAGATGACAAAATACTTAAACGGTTGCCGCGGTTACATAATTCACACTTCTGAAGCTGTTAATTAGCTAATTGATTAACAAAAAAAACCACGGCGCAGCGATGGAAACTCACGATGAATCGTGCCCAAATCGTTTGTTCTCATTTGCCCATTTGATTGCGACGGTTTTTCGACGGCATTTCATCATTTACGGCGGAACAATTGCGGATTTTTAGTGCCATTGGCCATTTGGTTCGATCGAAATAGATGTTTCCATTCCGAACAGCCGTTCAAAATCGAATCGCCATAAATCAGACGTTCAACAAGTTTACGAGTGAATTTTTGCTAATTACTTCAATCATTTATCTATTTTTTTTTCTAGCGGAATGACCTATCGAATATACTATTTCATGTTTTGACGTTTCCTTGTGGAAAAATCAATTTTTCTTTCCCAACTAATTGCGAATATGATAAAAAAAAAACAGAACAACAAACTGCCAGTCCAATGAGATTACAAAATAAACAATAAAATAGTGGAAGCTCCACTCATAACCTGATAGAAAATACGAGTAGCAAACGGATGGAATGATTGAATTGCACGAAAAGCATGCCGAATGTGGGGAAAAAACGATGACATAAATTAAAGTGTCAAAACGGAATATATGTGATAACATTTGTTTACAATTTTTTTTAAACTGTACTCCCCATTGGTTTTTGTTGTTTGTATGAGTTTGTTTGAGCGCTCGAAATTGCATGTCAGCCCAATATTACAGCCGAATATTGATGGCATTTAAAATGCTACTATTTGCGCGTCGTGCTGTTTTGATTGTTCCGTTTGTTTTCTCATTACTTCGCTAAAATTGCGCTTCCAACGGCTATAAATTGAACAACTGAGCTATATTATGCGAATCGACGGATCGGATGGCATGCACTTTTATTAATTTTTCGCAGGGAAATAAAAAAAAGTGAAAGTGCCCGAACGAAGAAATATCGCTACAATCCGTATGCAATACCACAATTGCAGATGACATGTTAACACACCGAAGAATCGAAGAATACATTCAACTCGTGTCTTTTCCCTAAAATATCGTCATTTCAAACCTCGTTGCTTCTTTCAATATAATATACATTTCACTGCGGCGATCGCCAATTTCGATAGTGTTCCCGCCGCTTGGACAACTTAGGCTCCACATGAGACTCTGTTTCTCTTCATTTAAACCAAAACAAAATGAACTCACAAGAAATGTTGTGATCTTTCCACTTAAATTGTGGGAAATGGAGATTTTCATTCAAAAAATATATATAAAAAAATTTCACCATGATTATTTTCAAATTACTCATAAGTTTAATCGGGTCTTGTCTCTTTAAATATATGATGAAATTCATAATAACGAAAAGGTCTTGGACTATCATCAATTATTTTTGATGGAATGCGCAGATTTTTTCTCCTCCGAATTCAAAAGATGTTGTACTATAGAGCACACATGATTTACGATGCGTCATAGGAAATACGAGTTTTTTGTTGTTTCTTCTCTGTGTCATATGCGCTTGATATAAAGAAATTATTCATGTCACTTCAATTTGAATGGCACATTTTCGATAAAAAATCCCGAAGTCATTTTTAGTTCAACTCGAAGCCATTTTTAGTTTAGTAGGTTTTTGCATTCCAATTCACTTGAGAATACACGTGAAACTGATGCGAAAATCAATAACTAGCAGTGATTGACACTATTTTAAACGTACTCAGTAAGTACTACTCACTCCCACTCTTTTGCTTGAAGTCAATAATTCTATACTTCATCATACGAGTGCATAAAAGACGCAATCATTCAAATCGATTCTCGTCAAAAAAAAGGTGGAAATGAACTCAGAAACCTAAAAATGGTTCGTTTCAAACTTTCTGTTTCATGTTTTACTCTCAAATTACCTTCGATACCAAATATGGAGTCCACGATTGACTTCCCGAGAAAAAAAACCGGCGTGACTTAAATGAGCATTGATCAAGAAGTGATTACGATAATTCGGCAACGTCAGTAAAGTTACACTGACACAGGCAGCAAGTGATTTAATTTAACGGTGTTTTTTTTATCGATTGCACGGTTTTATGCCTTCGCTATCAGATCGACCGAATTACAACCGAAAATAAATGTCTGAAAACCAGAAACGAATTACGCGAAAATATTTACGTTCCCGCAAAATGGAAATAAAAAAAGCGACTCACAGTGCCGAAAAACATACATTCAATTCAAGTATTGCGTAAATAAATTAGTAAACACGAATTGAGTGTATGCAAAATATAAATTCAATTCGGCTATGAGAACGAATACACACATTTTTTTACTCGTTGGTTTATGTGTGTATGGAATGAAAGACAAACACAGCCAGAGTCAGAGCCAAAGTAACGGATTTGGTATTTTATAATTGTTACTATCGCACATGACGCTTTTCGGTCGTTGGTTCAATAGCCACGGAATTGTATAAACATTTTCTAAAGGCACTTGATCGTTTTTTTTTCTGCCTCTTCGCCGAACTAGGGGGTAATAACACAAGCGCTTGAGACGAATCCGTACGAATATTTGTGAATTCGTGTGATTGTGTATACGGGACATTCGCAGCGCAGTGAGTGTACAACAACAATAATAAAGCCACGAACGCATGAATATATGCGAATCTATGTGAATCTCACAACTTGTTCCTAGCCCCTAGTCGCCGAATAGCGGTTTTTTGAACTCAAGACAGTACAATAGATGCGAAAATTTGGTTACAAATTGATACTGGTAATGAACATGTTATCTCATGCTGTGATTTTTGATTTTCGACCATTGATTGTTATTACTCCGATGATCAGTGCCGACACAATACAATACAGCTAACAAATTTGTTATAATTCGCACCATTTCGTTTTTCTAATAAAGTAAATAATGTGTAAACTTTGGGCACAATTACATTTCGACACCGGAGTTTGATCGGAGCTAGTGAATGAAAGAGAAAAAGCGCGCACATTTATCAACACAATGCAATGCTGTATTGGATATGTGCACGATCGTAAAATAGTAACATAAATTGGCAGTGAATGAAAAGCAAAAAGAGAGAAACAGCAAAACTGGTGCAATTTTGCAATCGACCGAGAATTTAAACGATGTTGATCCGGTTTAATGGAATCTTTAATCATTCGCCCAATATATCGCTCATAAATTAACGAGAGCAATTTTATGGACGGGCCACGATGATATTGATGATGGCAGCCACACGAAATTCCTCTGAAGATTTCACATTCGGTAACGGTTCAAAGGAGCCAAAGATGGCATCTCGATCTACTATGATATAGGTTTGATGCTCACTTTTGGCGTATGTAGTTTGTATTTCTTGTGCTGCTGCTTCTTCTTTTTCTTCTTCTTCTTTTTTTTTGCACTCACTCTTGCAATTAGTTTCTTTTGTTCTCAATTATTCGTGCGCGCATGGTCTTCTCCAAACCGTGCCAACGGTCTGTAATTGTTCGTTACGTAAAAGGGGAAACAAAACTATGAACTGTTGAAAATCAACAATTTTTTTCAAATGAAAACACACTAAACACGTGAAATGGAAGTTAGCTGTTAAAAATGCGATGATTTTTTCTTTCTTCTTTCTTTCGTTTTCCATGCGCATTGCAATGGACGAAGGGAGGCGGGAGAAAGAAGCACTTGTTGCAATACAACGATTAAATCATCAAAGCATTAACATATGAATTGCAGGCTTCTTTTTCACTCTTCATGCGCTTAAGTGAAACGAATATGGGCAACGATTTTTCTTCTTGCGTATGGTTTTTTTGTCTTTCCCCTGAAAAGTATTCGCGCGCTCATCATGTAATCGACATTCATTTGCACACGTACCGAACATTTCTCAATCGCACAACATTCGATTCGTAAACGGCTGTCAATTGAACATTTTCATCTCAAATTCGAAGTTTTAACGTGCGAAAACATGCGCTTTGTTGATGAGTGTTTTTTTTTTCAATTTTATTCCATTTGGTTTTTTCCTTCTTTTTGCGTTACAGGTGACAATAAACCAGCGACAATTGTTGTGCGTGTCGGAAACAATAGACCTGATTTGGGAACAAATCCGATTTGTAATCGATTCACTGGCGTGCTTGAGGAAGGTCAACCGCTCTTCTTGCCATGCAATCCACCCATGCCCGGCGCCTTTGTTTCCGTCCATTTGGAAGTGAACACACCGAGCCCGTTGTCAATTTGCGAAGCATTCGTTTACACCGACCAAGCATTACCAATTGAACGGTGCCCAGTGTTCCGTGATCAACCACCAGGCGCATCAGCTTCGTACAACGGAAAATGCTATACATTCTACAATCGACAACCGTTGAACTTCCGCGAAGCATTGCAATTTTGCCATGCTCGTGGCGGAACTTTGATCAATGACAGCAATCCGGCTTTGCAAGGCTTCATCAGCTGGGAATTGTGGCGTCGTCATCGCAGCGATGTTTCATCACAATATTGGATGGGCGCTGTTCGTGATGAAAAAGATCGAAACACATGGAAATGGGTTGGTGGCGAAGAGGTTACAGTCTCATTTTGGAATCTTCCGGGTGGCGATGAGAATTGTGCACGATTCGATGGTTCAAAGGGATGGCTCTGGAGTGATACCAACTGTAATACACCACTTAACTTCATTTGTCAACATCGTAAGATACCTTTTGATATAATTTTTCGGGATTATTCTTCTAACACTGGAACATAAAATTGATTTCCGTTGAAATGCAACTATATTCTTTGTTCGATTCATTGAATTTCCAGAACCAAAAGCATGTGGTCGGCCAGAACAACCTCCAAACTCAACAATGGTCGCTCCTGCCGGTTTTGATGTTGGTGCTATTATCGAATATAACTGCGACGATGGCCATCTTTTGGTCGGACCATCAAAGAGATCTTGCATGGACACTGGTTTCTATAACGAATTCCCACCCGTTTGCAAACGTAAGTTTTAACTTCTTTGAAATTAATTGAGAAGATGCAATCATCATTTCCAAGCAGAGTTTGGCACTTTTACCAATTTTAGCCGTCTTTAGTTATAATAATTCTCTTATTGAATTTAACCTTTAGACATTGAATGTGGATTGCCAGCATCAATCCTTCATGGATCCTACGATTTGGTCAACGGTTCCGTTGGATACTTGAGCACGGTCATTTACAGATGTAATGAAGGTTATGAAATGCTTGGCCGAGCGATGTTATCGTGCGATATTGATGAAAGATGGAATGGACCACCGCCACGATGCGAGCCAGTTGAATGTGAGGAATTGCCTGAGGTGTATGAAAATGCTCGAATTGTTTCGATTAATGGAACAACGGAATATGGTGCCAAGGCAGAGATTGTTTGCGCAAATGGCTTCAAGCCAGATGGACCAAGATACATTTCATGTTTGTCGACCGGCCAATGGAGTGCACCACTTGCGCCATGTATCCGAGGTAAATATTGACACGATCATCGACACAACAATCGTATTTTAAGCGAAAAATCCGATTTTGATCTTTATGATGTTATAAATCAGATTTGTTTGTTTTATCATTCCATTTTGATTTATAATCTACCATTTCGAAGACGATTTGTCATTTTGCTGATTGATTTCTTACGACACATGATTAATTGTTTGTTTTTATTTAGATTTGAGAGTGTCAGTACCACCGCCGCAACAAACCACAGTTGGCACGACTTCACGAAAACCGACGCGTACATCATCACGTTACACAACCACACCGATCACGACAACCGAATATGAAGAAGGTTCGTTCATTTCGCAATGTCTTGTTTTGAGCGAAAACACACAATGAAAATTGATTCAGTTACAAATTAACGGGTTTTGTTTCCATTTACAGAAGAGTCTGCAGAAGAAGAAGAAGAAGAAGAAGTTGTACCAACGATGAACGATAACATAATTCCGCGCAGACCGGTTGTGCCAGCTTTGACACCAACCAAGAATGGCCATGCAAATCCATCGGCAACACATCGACCGAAGACCGCATCACCAGCACATAACACAACACCAATTCAAACGACGACCGGCCGAACGACAACGACCACAAACAATGCGCATAATATCATTCAGGCAGCACATCCACAAGATAATGAAATCGCTGGTAGTGTAAACATAAGGTGAATAGACACACTGAATATGTTTCCCTAGCTAAGAAAGTCTAAACAAGTTTCTCTTCTTTTTTTGACAAATATTTGAAAGAATTTTTCTTTTTTGTTTTGTTATCAATCGCATTTTTTTTTAATTTGTGAATGAAATTAATGTTAACGTCCATTTGCATTTCAGATCGGATCAATCGCCGAAAGTGAACATTCCACATTTGGTAGAGAATGACCAACACCGTGAAACGCATGGTGCTAAATTGCATCTTGGTGCAATTATAGCATTGGGTGCGTTCGGTGGCTTTGTATTCTTGGCTGCGATCATCACCACAATAGTCATTTTGATCCGAAGGTAAGATTTCACTTATTCGATCATACATTTTCTAAAAGAAATCAAACAAAATAGAAAAAAGGGAAGCAAGCCAAAAAGACGGCTGAATTGGAACAACTTTTCTGTCTCTTCTTCATTCTGACTTACTTATCTTCTTATCGGCTTTGGGATAAAATAATATTTGAAACAAATAAAAATTCATTATAATTTCGTATCTTTTAATAACAATCGAACGACGTCTATTTTTTCTTCAAAGCAACGCACCTTTTTTTTCTGCACGGAATATAGACACACCTTTTCTTTACTGTTTTTTTTTCTATTTATTTTCTTAAACTTAAGTTGTGTTCGTCGATAGTTCATCTTAACTGAATTGAAACATAATAGATTCATGCTTGAGCGAAACTACGTGAAAAGTATACCAGCAGCGAGGGTAACTTTTAACACGTCCTGATTAGGCGTAACCACACACACACACACACCACTTTCCAACTTTGTTGTTCCAAAAATTGATTCCTTGCACGAAAAACTACCATTCTCATTTTATTTATTTCTATTAAAATCTATATCGAAAAACAAAGATAAAAAAAACCACATATATCCATTGGCCAATCCTATACAAAATCATAACTCTATTCATCACCTTTGTTGATCGACTCTATCACTCTACGCACCGACACCCCTTAATTAATCTCATTCAAAACGAATTTTTTTTTTCTTATTTTGTTTCTATTTGCCAATTAATTTTTGTTTTCTTTTTTTCCATCATTTTCTTTGTTAACCTGAAATCGAATGTTTGTTGAATCCGTCCTTCCCAAAACCAAAAAAAAAAAAACAATAACAAAATTGACCAATTTGAACGAAAATAAAAACCAAAATAATAATAATTAATCAGCTCCAATCCAATGAACCACCAACACTGTAATACTAGTTCTTGTCATCATCGTAAAACATCAAGTGCCACCTCAGCAAACCGTTCGAAACACTATAGTGGTGATCGTCGTTTAGTAAATACAACAACCAATAGTAACAATAATAAAACTAACCCAATTGTGCCCTCGCGTTGGTACACCGTATTAGCGCTTCCTTTTGAGGATCAAAAACTCGGTCGTCGTGACATAAATACATTTGGTCGCGGAGCCTATTCGTCAAGAGCCGGATTCTTTAGTAATCCATTATGATTCGAGCTAAACACTGAATCGAACGCGTGCCATTTGTTACAAAACACAACTCGTACTAGTCAAGATTCACAAATGTAAGCGGTTCTCATTCCAGACACAAAACAAACAACAATCAAACAAATCGTATTGCATTTGCACCATAAATCTTTCCAGCGCACACTCTACTTCTCTTTTTGTTGATTTTTTTTTTTTTTGCAATCGAATCCTTCAGAGTTTTCTATTGATCAATTCACACGCACATTTCGATTTGTTTTGCTGCACCGCATTTGTTAAGGAACAGTTTGATCCCATTCGGGTTGAATTTGACTAAAATCGCTTGGCTCTATAATCTGAACAAAAAAAAAAATCTAATATTTTTCCAAATTAACGCTTCGCGTTTGTAGTTAGTTGGCTAACAGTTTGATTTAACTGCACTTCGGGATCATGCGGAATGTTGAAGACGATTGAAGAGAAGAAAAGTAAAAATACAATGAAATAACAAGGTTTTTATTTCTCTAATTAATGTGAACTTTAAAGTGAGTTAAAAGTAAGGTAGCTTGGTAAAATGCAAGTTAGAGTTACATAAATAAAATTACATTTTCATCTTCAAAATTCCCTTGATTCCCATTTGATGACACACGCTTTGCTTTCGAGTGTATGCTTTACGACTTGAATTTAGTATGCCCGATTATCAATTAAAATTGAACTCTTTCTCTCCCCCTCCTGTAGAGGCCGTACCACACAACATTACCGCCATCGAGCTTCACCCGACTGCAATACGGTTGCATCATTCGATAGCTCCAGTTCTGAATCACGAAACGGTTTAAATCGATACTATCGCCAAGCCTGGGAGAATTTACATGAATCAGCATCGAAAAATTCAAACAATCACGCCGCATTACGTCGAAAAGAGACACTTGATCAACCAAATCTAAGCCGGTCACGTGATAATTTAAGTCGTTCTAGGGATAATTTAGATAGGTGAGTTGATGCGTTTTATCGATTTTTTTAAGTCTCACATTCTTTGCTCCATTGTTATCGTTGCATTGCGCAACTTGCGTAAATGTTTCGAAATATCATACCGTTTGATTCAAACGGAAATCTCAACAAGTAAATATATACTAAAAATGGGATTATTTTCTTTACATTTCAGTCGTGCTCGTGAATACAGTAGAGATAATTTAGGATTAAGAGATGGCTCCGAAATGATTGTAACTGATGTTTGTGTCAAAGGTAATGTTTTTGTTCTTTTTTTTCTTCTTCAAAACAAACGTGTTTTTCCAAATATTCTAACTTGACATTAATTCGCCTCTGTATTTGTAGGTGAAAAGAAACGACACCATCATCACCATCACAAGCCAGCCGGTCGTGACTCACATTTAGTTGCTTCGAATGCACGACGCGATCATAGGAACGGACACTATTAACATAGTCGACACACACACACACATACCATGGTTTTAACAATCAATTTAGAAAAATGAATTTGACATGACTAACCCGCAAGCAAACAATACGACACACGCAACTAATTTTCTTATCCACAACAGACTTACAACGCAACAGTGACGACGAAATTATTTATGAAATTTTTGTTTTTAAGGTTAAAACAATGTGTGACAACATTTTCATTTGATAAACATATTTTTGGCGCTTTTTCATCGACTATGTTTTATAAGGAAGACCAAATATTATATGATAACACATTCCGTAATAGCAATTTGAATTTGAAACAAATGACATCAACACAGACTGTGCAGACATTTTTAATCCAATCGATTTCATTTTAAACACTGAAACACAGTGAATATTGAATTAAATATTTGGGAATTTTAAACGACACATCCACTGGATGTACAATTTTAATGAAAAATTTTAGCATCGGCCGGCAATTTTTTCAATCATTTGATCGACACAATTTCAAGTAAAAACTGAATGGTTTTAAATGATTTTCCATAATTTTACATATGAAAAAAGAAGCCGGTTGAAGAGCATGTTTTAACGCAAAATTTTAATGTTTTTAACTTATTATCATCATCAAACTAATCATAAGTTTTAAAGAATGAGAAAGAAAATACGAATCGTCAGCAAAAATTCAATCACTTTGTGAATTATTGTTTCGAAAAACAGTTCATACTATGAACTTCATAGTTAATGCAATTTGTGCCATTGGGCCAACAAATGAGAGAATAGATCTTGTATTTTAAACGAAGTGAGAAAAAACTAGATAATTCCAAGCGATAGTTAAGGCATATAAAACATTGTTTCAACACCATGAAGTTGTTTTTGGAACATTATAATTCTCCCGAAATCGAATATTTGATGCGTTCCGTGAAGCAGAACCGAATTCACTGCTAAATGGCAGAGCAAGTGCTTGGGCTTAACAGAACAAACGCTATAATCGTTCTGAAGAATGACGTAGAGTTATTTTAATTTAATGGATTCCAATTTTTTTTTTTTTCATCGAACAAAGATTTTTCTTTGTTTTTGAATCAACGGATTGAAATATGTAACATAGAAAAAATTTTATGAACAAGTGTCCTAGGTTTATGATAATTTTACTATAGTAAGGTATCTCCCAATTTTTTTTTTAAAGAAAGAAACAAACAATGTAAATAATGGTTTAAATTTAAGCACGCAAGTTGTTAAAATAAAAATTTATTGTAGAATAACATATAAAAGAATTGTGTTTTTCATTCTCGTTAGTCGTTATTCTTTATTTCTTGTTTCTCTTTTTCGGAAAATGTTAATATTTTCATTCCGGAAATTGCAGAGCAGTTTACTTAGCATATTGATGGTAAAGTAAACTTTAATGACCATAGCTTTCCTTAACTGCATTGAAAATACAACCAATGAAACTGTAAACAATTTTAAAAACTCGTTGGAATGTTTTTCATGCAAATCCACATCACCCACAGGAAAGAAAATCATTCGGGGATAATTGCATTTGGTTTCAGCAAAGGAACCTCATTTGACATATGCAGACCTACACTACCGTGCAAAAGTTTGGAACCACTTGGTATTTTTCATACAAATTGACCATTTTTGGTGGACTCATTAACATATTTCGGAAACACCTGCACTCTTGATATTTTGTGCATAGTTTCTACAACGTTTCAATAGTAAATCACAGAGGTTTCATCAAAGAATATTCATGAATTTCAAAAATATAGAAATTTGAATTTGTACTGTGTGAAAAATGATCAAATTTGTATGAAGATTAAAACAGATCAAATTCAACTTCGACAGATGATAAGGTCGATTTGTTTTGAAACACAATCACCAACTAAGGTCACTTAAATTATTCAATTGTGAACTTTTATCGCCGACAGTTTTAAAAAGTATCGGCACTTATCCCAGATTTCTCAGTACTTTAGACATTTATTCTGTTCATTTTCGTACATCTCCGAGCAATGCTATGGATGAAAATGTGGTGCACTTGAAAACGCTCCCATTTTTAATATTTCTGCGTTTGGATGGAACAGTCTCATCGGAACTACTGATGAACATGCTTGCTGTAAATATTCCACGAAATCATACCTTGTGCATTTGTCCCATGATTATAGAAACAGCACAAAATGTTCCAAATTTGAAAAATCTGAATACGCTAGTTGTTGAATGCAGAGGCTCATTCGGTGGGGTTTCTGACAATTTTCTAATAAATTTAGCGATGTACATTTATTCGGGACGCACTGTATCGATGCAAGGAATTACTGGGATATCGGAATCAGGAACAAGATTAACTACACTTACATACTGCACTTATTATTCTGGAATCGATTTGGACACCTATAATATGATTCTACGCTTAGCAATTAATCCTGTTAGAGTCGTGCTAGTAGGTTGACGTACTGAAATACATTCGGCATGCTAATAGCAAGTGGTTGAGTATTTACGGAGGATGTATTAATTGCAAAATAGGTACTCATACCTTGAAAAATTCTTACTAATTTATTTGTAAAAAAGGCAGTGTTTAAATTTTGCAAGTTATCTATGATTGGGATTAAGAGATAGTTCAAATCAATTAATTCTTTCGGATTACACAATATCAAACATATCGCAATAAAAACATTGAAACATGAAATACATGTATTTTTCTAAATTGTAATTTTTCTCATCAAATTTGTAAAAAATGAAAATAAACGCATGAAGAAAATAATTTCACTTTTCTATAAAAATAAATTGAAGTTTGTGTTGAATTATTAGTTCTCGATGATGAAATTTCAAAACAAATCGTCAATTGCATTTGACAACATGCACCATGTTAATAAATGTCCAATAGGTGCGTTGGCCACATAACTTTTCAGTGGTCAGCAACATTTTCAGCTTCAGGCACCTGGACCGAACATTTGTAATGTACTGTACTAGGGTGTTTTCGGCATCGTTTAATCAAAAAATGGTATGCCTCATTCGATAGATCTCAGAATTCTGAGTCGATTGATAATATTTTTGTGGCGGATGGACTTGTGATGACACTTCCCGAAGCTGAAAACAAAAATAGTTTTATTCAGAATTTCCATAGTAACCTGGGACAACCAGATTTGATTTGAAATTTGAAAGCAAAAATTTGAAAAGAAAACATAAAATTGAATCTAGTTGTCACACGTTACTATAGAAATTCAGAATAAAACATTTTTCGTTTTTAGTTTTGGGAAGTGTCACCACAAGTCCATCCGCGACAAAAATGTTATCAATCAACTCAGAATTCTGAGATCTATCGAATGAGAGTTACCATTTTTCGATTGAACGATGCCGAAAACACCCTACGGTGTACATGCTCTATAACTTTTTTTTCAGTTCCTTACCAAAAACTGCACTTCATTCTTATACATTTCAAAGTTTCCTTTGTTCACACAATATCCACATCGGTCAAGATGGATTGAAAGACCTTGTTGAATTAAATTGATACAAAAATCGTCTATTTTTCGCAATTGCTTTTAATTTTGACCGAAATTTGTCCATAGTTGATGTGAGTTTATTAAATTCATATCGGAGAAAACACGATTCGTTATCGTTTTGAATTTGGCATTTTAAAGAAAAATCATTTGTTTCGAAATTCGTTCGCTCATTGTGTGTGAAATGAAGAACATTAAAATGATTAAACTAATTTTTTCGATGTTTATGGTTTACATACATGCAAAAATTACAAATAAGACACAGAGAGAAAGAGATGTGTTGTTACACATTGTGTTGAACACAGGAAGCGATTGTAAATATTCATAAAATATTTGAACAGCAATAAATTATTAAATTGTGAATTGAAAAAAATTAAAATCAATTTTAATTTTTGTCAACGGGCAATTAGCGTCGTCACAATTCTCAACGACTAAATTCATATCATACTGTATTGTGTCTAGTTGCTTTGTCCCAAACTGTCATTCGGCCGTGTGAACCGGGCTTGTTGTTGACGTTTCATCAGCTCTACCACTACCAGTGTAGGTGCTGCGCGTGAAGTCGCATTCCGTTGTATTTTGCATCAACATGTGTGTAAGTTTTTTGTGTACGCGTGTAATAAATACGGACGATGCAATGAGCAGCTGAACAACTGTCAAAGTGGAAAATTGAAGTTTAGTGTAAGATGGTTAGCTGGTGAGTACGGTGGAATCTGTAGTTAAAGCCAAACAAAGCGAATGCAAATAACGAAAACCAGTGCAAAAAGGAAGGTAGACAAAACATTTGCGTGGCCATCGACTAGAGTCGAAACTTAATTAATCTCTCAGTGGAAAGAAAACAGAACAATCAGTACAAAAATGCTAACCAAATCATCGTGTCACTTCAAATGACAGTAAATCAAGCGAAACGAGTTCGAGTTGATTTTCAACTAGCCTAATTCGGTCTCTGTTGCAATCGAAGAGACTTAGTGTATTCGTTATAGTCGTTTTCTTTCTTCATTTCAAGATATTTACCTTTTTTGGTATTTTCTGTTCTACGTGTGTGATTGCAGCAGCATCGCGTAAGTGTTTTCTCATATTGAACGCAATTATTTGAAAGTGGACAACAAGACAGAGAGGAAAAAAAACAGCAGCAATGACAGCAGTGATTGAATTCGAAGCATTTTCTGCGTTCTTGCAAGTGCCTGGCACACTGAGAGTAAAAGAATGTGTGTTTGTCTAACGGTATGCGTCTGCTTGAGAGCGCACCTCGGTGGGAGCCGAATAAATAACATGAAAATAGAAACGAAAACGAATTATGTTACAATTGAATGTGTGTACTAGGCGGTGTTGCTGTTGTTTTTTTTTTTTTGCTCGGTCGTTTCAAAGCCAGCAAAACCAACCACGCAAATCAATGTGTCAGAGAAAGACTGAAGCAGAAAAATGAATTCTATTCTGCTGTGTATGCGTCGTTGTTGTTGTTGTTATTTTTTCCTCTCATTTCGTCTTGAATAGCAATTAGTTTACTGTGTTTTTTTCTTCGCTGTGAGTGTTGAATAATAGATGTTTTGTTTTATTCCATTTCTCATGTCGATTCTGTGTCGGTGCGCCTTTTCCGCTGTGTGCAACCAAAATCAAGTCCAATGAAATGCGATTCAATAAACAGGAATTAGCAACACTTGCGACCCAGCCAAGCAATAAATTTGAAAAAGAGGGCATTCTATACGTAACCGAGCGTCAGGATGGATTCTTTCGCCGTTCCGAAGGTAAGAACGAGATGGGAAACAATAACTCCATCGGACAAATGACAAATTGATCATAACATTTGCAACAAAAGGGTTTTTTTTCATAAGTAATTAACCTAATTGTCGCTGGCCAACTGCAATTTTCCCGCATAAGGAATGATACTGCGCGATACCTAAAGCCAAAAGAGAAAAAAAACACGAAATGTGCTTTGTTTGTTTTTGATAGGTGTCTCTATTTTTACACGCTCGCTCTCTCTCTCTCTCCCTCTGTATCTCCCCTGTTTTATCCGCTTTGTCCATTCAGGTGTCAGCATTTATCTAGTCATATTATGTTTTATTCTTACTTAAGCCCGTTTTTATGATTATTATCCATTTTATGATATTTGCATGTTTTTTTGCATACGCCTTAATTTTTCCTTTTCGCTCGTTCATTCATTCATTCGTCGTTCGTTTGTTTGATTCGATGAACAATTTGCCATACATCATTAAGTACGAGCGAATGTTTCTTACCTCATTTGCAAATGGAATAAAATGTTCAAAGCGCTTTCGAATTGAATTCTACTGAGGGTGTAAGTGTATTCAAATACAATGCAATTTTCAGAATGTACCTCTAAGGTGAACTGAATCGAAGTGAACTGAACGAAAGGAAATGCATGTTAAAGGCAAAAATTTATAGCGTCACGAAAACACACACAAATCAACGATCTAATCTATTCATCGCATAGACTAATTTAACGCTTTGTTTCGACATTATGTAACAAATGCCCGAGAATTTTAATGTTCAATTGGATTTTCCCATTGCATTAAATTGAAATTATTGTATAATTGAATTTCAGAAAAGAAAAACTTAACACAACATTGCTTCTTCTATGGGAAAGTTTCGGTATAACAAAAACGAAAACACAAAAAAAAAAAATTCCCCTTTTTGATAAGTTTCAATTAGCGATGGTCAATAAGAATGATTTTAATTTTATAGAAGTTGATTTCGCGGAGACGGGATGTGCTTCAAGTTCATCGTCGTCGTCGTCATTTTTCAAATTGAAGCCAAGACGCAACATAGGCTGTATGGGTGGAACGAACAAAGGTTTGGACTTAGCTCATCGAAAACAAACACACACACATACACTTACATAAATACCAATAACACATAGTCTGTCGTAATCGAACCTCACTTAATTGTATTTATCGCTTTTTTTTACTAACTAACAAATTGCTTCTCAATAAAGCCGTTTGTCATCTCGTTTTTAGATTATTTCTTGTACGTCATATAACTCAATAACCAGAGTGTTATCGGGTTGATGTCGTTTTTGGGACATTATCTAAAAATAGATTTGCTTGTGCAAATGGAAAAAAATCCGCTTTTTGTGTGATAAAAAAAACAATACCACATCGACCATGTTGACGACTAACACTTCATGTGACGGACAGTGTGAGCTGTTCGGATTAATGGATGTTTTTTTTTGGAATCTCTCATGCTAACAAATGAAATTCAATTTTCACTCGGAATAAATAAAAAAAATATTAATTTCGCACATAACAAGAATAAGTACACATAGTAGTTTGTCGGTCTTTTTCAAAACACCATCTCAATACTCTGTTTTTCTGTAGCAGCATCAGCAAAAAAATCACGCACATCTTTCTTATTTTCGTACCATTTGCGCGCGCTATCTTTGTTTACATGCCATAATTCCCTCTGTTTGTTTGTCTGTTTATACGTGAATGAAAATATGGATTTTTTTCTAGCTCGAACGAGCACTGTTTTGCACATTCTTACTTTTCATGTTTAAAATCTGTATCACTCTTATGTACGGTGTTTTTTTTCCACTGTATCTTTGTCTGTATCTCGTATTCTACATGCATCTATTCTCTCAGCATCTGTTTCGCATTTTAAATTTGATTTTGTGTTTTGATTTTTGTCTTTCTTTCTTTTTTCGGTTTGTTTACAGTGAGTTTAGAGCGATGGTGTCGACTGCGTGGAAATTTGCTGTTTTACTTTAAAAGTAGTGATCAATTTTCGGAGCCACAAGGTGTAATCGTTTTGGAAAAATGCGAGCCCATCATACGTAATGAGAGGCGTGAACATGATGGTTTTGTGTTTTTCATCGGTAAGCTACAACATCGATTTCGGTTAATTGCTGTTCAAATTTGTTGCTAATGGTTGTTTTTTTTTTTTGTGCATTCCCATCTCTCTCTGATCGATTCGACAGAATTTCAGGACAATCTCAAGCAACGACTCTCAACGAATACAGAAGCTGAACGGGCCGATTGGATTCAGGCGATCCGTCATGCTAGCTATGAAGAGATGCGCAAAAAATTGCAATCACTTCGGGAACAAATCGAAAAGAGACGTGATACTAAACAAGATATCGACGTAGATATGATGCGTTTACAAATCGGCAAAGAAATAGGTGAAAATCTTATTCAATTTTAAAAATAAATGGTTTGCTTTTTTCTGTTCGTTTCGGAGAAATACACCAGTTACTAACCAAAATTTAGGAAAAAAACAAACATTCAATTATTTCTTTGTCGGTTATAACAACACCTTTTTATGTTCAAAAAAGAGATTTTTTTTGTACCGATTAAATTGCATTTAATTTTAATTGCCCAAATAAAATACTGATTGTTTTGATTCTGTTCATTATTGATGGGAATTTTCAAAACTGAAAATTACATGGGGTTTTAATTTTTAATTACATCATTAGTTCGTTTACTTTGTATGAGTTAGATTTTTTTGGAAAGTGGGTTTTTCTTCTGGAAATTAATCGATATTTTCTATTTCGATGGTAAACTGCAGATATCGCCGAAGTACCAGTATGCGAAGCTGTAATTTCATGTGACAATTTGCTTTGCGACGGTCATGGACGACCTCCAAATCCAACGGTTATAGTACAAATATCTGAACCAAGCCGTTCATCATGGATTCGATACGGTCGCACCGAAGTTATTGAGGTAACGTATGCATTGATTGGCGCAAAACTGTGCAGATAATAATTTGTACACACATCAAATCAATTGATTTTGAGTGGATGCTATTTTTGAAGTCAGATTGTGTCGATTTTCGTTTGACCTTTACATTCGAGAACATATTCCAAGGGCTTGGTGACCTTCTCTTGTTTTTCTATTTTTATTCCATATTTTTTTCTCAATTTCCATCAATTTATATCGATTCAACGCCACCTCTTTCTCTCGTTACAGAGATGCTCGAATCCACAATACCTATGTACAGTTGTGTTTCGTTCAGGGGACGGCCTAAATAAACAATCTTTAATACGCTTTACGGTGTACGATGTTCGTGAGAAAGTTTCGCAAACGGCTGTGCCATTAGGTTCGGCTGAAGTAACGTTAGGAGCAATCCAAGAAACGGCACGACTTCGTGTACCGCTGCAATCGAACTCGGGTAGCGCAGGTTTTCTCACAATGACAACGTATTTGCCGGAACAAGAGCGAAAATATCCACGATCGCCGGCCAGACAAATCGAACCGCCACAACGCTACGGCCATAGACGATCACAGTCATTGCCACCGAAACTTGGCATCAAACTTAATATTCCACCGCCATATAAACTTAGCTCGGTGTTTGTTAATCCAACGGTAGGTTGATGTGGAGTAAAAAAAAATGAATTAAAACTCGAATTTGAAACAAAAAGTTGAGAAAATGATAATTTTGAGCCAAAAGAAAAATTAAAGTAGCATCGACCTTGAAGTAGAACTTTTTTCCCTATTTTCATGCAACATTTGTTTCCATTCATTTGGTGCCGTATTCTTCCATTCCATTTAACCGATTGAGATTTAATCAAATATTCTTTTGTTTTACCGCTTGGCAGGTTCGCACGTATCGTTTGCATTCCGGATTGGGCGGCGACATCAGCGTTTTTGAAGTAATGATGGAGAGTCGTCTTTGCTTCATCATACCACAGCAATTACTGTAAGTGTCCTTGAACTGAATCTGACTGAAGGTCGTATTCATGTGTATATCAAATACAAAGAAACGTTCATAAAATATTGAATCATTGCGAGTGAATCATGGACTAAGCACAAATTTGTTCATTTCAGGTCCATTTGGATATTGCGCGAGAAAGAGCTGTTGCAAGAGATTTCCGGTATGGGTGAGCTCGGTGGTGAATGGCGAAATGTACAAATGGAATTATTGGATAAACACTTGAAATTACTTAAAGAATACTCGCAAGCCAAACAAAATCTACAGCAATGCGCGGCAAACAAATTCTTCAAACAGTCTTCGTGCAAAAATGATGAGTCACTCGAATTTGCACCGGTGAATTTGCATCTACAAAGAATGTGGGCATACAATGATACGCTGAAACGCGACGGTTTCTTGGATATTATCACAGTCGGAGCATTTACGAGACATTCGGGCAAGACAAAAACCGGTGGATTGATTAAGTAAGTTCTTGAGTTAACCGAAGAACAATCGTTTTCAGTATAAATCCTGATTTGTTACTAATGATATGCTCTTTTCCAGGCTATTGCAACTAATGAAAGACTCACCATCGAAGGTCGATCAAATCGGAGTCAAAGTGCGTACGGCAAACGATGCTGTTCAGTCAATAAAGCAGTTGCGGAAAGAAATTGTCGAAATTATGTCACAACTTTTATCATTGGCCAAACTGAAGAATCCAAAGGGAATGTTGCCGCTGTGCAATGAAATGATCACAAAAACCCGATCACTGTTGAACATTTGGGAGCCAAGTTTAGTCGAAGAAGCGTTTGCTTTCATCGAAAAACATCGTATCATAAATGATTCAACGGATACGAAGACACAATCGTTGAAATTGTCACCATTTCGGAATATTACTCAACAATTGGGTGCTCTTGAATTGAAATCGCCGGATTTAGAAGATTTTGCTTCACCAACAGGTCCGATGCCAATGCCAAATCTGTGGACAAAACATGCTCGACGTAACACATCGCCATGCGTTGATATTCCGCAAATCACAAAAAATATGAACAATAATGGCTTTTTGAAAGAAAACTTCGAAATCTACCAAGATAAGAGTGATTCGCTGAACAATCGCACGACACAAGAACTATTCGAAGATATCAAATTGGATAATGTTCCTGAATGTGACAATTTGTCATTTTCATTGCCACCAAATTGTGGTTCGGGCAACAACGAGGATAGTTTAGTCTTCAGTGAAACGCATTTCGATGTGAGCGGAGAGATTTTGTCATCATTACCAGCACAAAGAGTTCATACAAAGGATCCGTTGCCAAAACGAGATATCAAAAACGATGCAAAAACCGAAAATAAGCCAAATTCCGAAGAACGCTGTAATTCCATGGATTTGGGTGGTGTTTTGGTTACGGAAAATCAGCTGAATGAAAGCAAAAATGAGATTCTACATAATTCCAATGAATTCGATGAGAATGGTCGAGTGAGAAATTGTTCGATTGCAGTCGGTCAAAATGGAACATTTTTGGATACAAAGGCAATGAGCTCATCACCATCGGCGAATTACTATCGACCCACCGAAGAGCCGGAACCGCTTGACTTAACCCAATTGAATATTGAGGCGAGTGTAATGTGTTTAGTGAGCAAAGTGAAATTCTTGTGCGGTCGCTGTGGCAGCCCAGCTGTTCGACTGAGACAGCCAAAAGCCAATACCAGGCGCGGATTCACCAATATTCAAAATACAATCAATAATCAACCGTATGCTTCCAATCCAAATGTGAATGATAACGAAACCAAAACGGAGTCGATGAATTTGCCGGCGAATGTGAATGTGAACAATAATGCGATTTCCAGTGGAAAAGAGTCGGCGGTTAGCAAAGAGTTGAACTTGGCACTGAATCAAGTGGTTGATGGTGTCACACGAAAAGTGTCCAAAGCCAAAGGAAACAAATTCACCGATGGGCTAGATCTATCTCTTACCACGGACTGGGCCTCAGAACTACGACCATCAATGAGAAAATTGCGACAGGCAATGGATGGTCTCTTGAAAACTGCACGCTTAATGCATTCAGTACAAAGACTTCAACAAGACATGAAGAAAACGTCAGCTATTTTGAATACAATGTATCGCCGCGATGTTTGCTTCTCACAATCGGTAAGTGTGATACACTTTTTGGGTCGTGATTGGAATAATTTGATATAAAATTTCAAATGATAATACTAAAACCATACAATTTGAGAGTAAAATATGATTTAATGAAATTCTTTGACTAATTTCAGCTAACTGCAATTGTATCTGGAATTATGACCAAAATATGGGCCACAAACATAACTGAGAATGACGTACAAATCTTATGCACGCTTGGTCCGCTAGCATATTTCGAAGGTTTACTGTCGTTGTACGGCAGCGAAACCGATATGTGGGGCGACATGTGTGTTGCCATAGAAGACTTGAGCGCTGTCACCTTTACGTTGGTTCGGGGTAACATACCACGGTTGGTTCAATTTTAAAATGATGTTTTTCCATTTTTTTTCTGAATGATATTTTTGACTTTCATGCAGGTTTCCATTCTTTTGCCAATCGACTCAAATATTGATTCCCTTTCAATTTTCCAGAAACAAAAAATACTTCCCCATTCCGCGTGTCACTGGTTCGCGTCAATCGATAACCGTATTGCTTCCCGTGCCGGACAATATTTACTCAATGCTTCCGAACAAAGAGTCTCCATCGTTCAAAATAACGCCGGTTTTCTTCAACATTGGCATCAATGAGTATGCAACGTTATCGGAAACGCTTGGCTATACCCGTGAACAGCATCGATCGAATTTCGATAATTACGATCGACTTAAACAGTACTTCATTCGTTACAAGAAAATAATGCTAAATTCAAAAGGAACACCGAGCAAAAGTGAAACGCTCACCGAGCAATTGCACAATGTCACCGATTTGCTGAATGCAATGGAGGAATCGTTGCGTAGGAATGCGTCGAAAAACACAAAAATATTGCATTTGGCCGAAGATGTGTGTCGAGGTTTGCACGGATTACGCTTAACGTCATGCAAAAGTGCCAAAGATCGAACCGCCATGGCCGTCACAGTGGAACAGTGCCGTATTTTACAGAAAGAATTCCATTTGCCAGCAAACAATGTACAGTGTGTACTGGATACAATGCGGAGGTTTGTATTGAAATTATTACATTAATTGAATGAAATGAAATGTGATAATCATTTTGATATTTGTTTTATAGCTTTGATAATTACGTTTAATAATTTTTTTAATTTGTTGTGCTAATTTTCGTTTACTTTGTTCATTTCAGCGAGGGAACTCGAAGTGAAAACACTTTGAAGAACATCGGTCTGCGAAAATACGCATTCAATTTGCCACAAGTGTTGAGTCTACCGCAAGTTTATCGCCCGCCGACTGGTTAGTATTGAAATGTTTCATTTGACCGAAAAACAATAAAACAAGTGATAATTATCATGATTTATTCATTTTATAGGATCTTACGGGAAAGCGCAATCTTAAACATACCCACACGCACATACAACATAGGAAAAAAAACCCTTCACACATCACTTACTGTTAGACAATGCCAAATCTTTCATTTTTAACTAGTTTTTTTTTAGATTGCATGTATACAACAACAACAAAAAACTATTTTTTCGTCATGTGATTAACCGAAAAATCGTCTCCTCTTAACCAATTTTAACTATTTAACATTGAACCCTACTAGCCTAGTATACTTGAAGTATCTTTTTGGACCCAAGACTTAAGTGAACTCTCCTAACTGTAGAGCAAATAAAGAAGTAAATTATCGAATTTTCAACATTGATTTTTGGAAATGAGTTGTGAAATCGAATCGAATCGCATCCATGGGATGATTCTAGAGCTGTCAAAGAAACAAAACTAATTTAATTTATGTATTGTATAGAGTTTATGGGAAATCAGTTAGCAGAAGAAAACAAATATTGTATAAAAATGCGAATCACAATAAAATACCATGTCAATAAAATGAACATAAAAATGTTTGACTTGTTCGAAAAGGTGAAAAAGAAAAAAAACGGCAGCAAATTGCAGAACGCAATAAAAATCATTAGAAGATATGATTCGATTGTACAAGCCGCAAAAAGTAGCTACTAAAAAAATCAATCGTTGCATAACAACATGGATCGAGTTAGACAAGTTTTTTTTCCCCTCCTGATCGCCCACAGTTCCGCCCCATCGCAATGAAGAATGCAACGAATCGCCGATAAAATCAATTCTTCGATCAAAGCATTATGCGGAACTAACCAAAAGTAGCGTTTTTATTAGTGAGAAGAAAAAAACCCAAATCACAGTAATAATTCAAACATTTTCGAATGAGTCTTTAATTTTTCTCTTTTATTTTAATAATGGCAGTTGTTTTTTTTTCACCGGCTTTTGTTTGATTGTTCCATTAAAACAGTTTGTGTCTGGTGTTGGTGGTTGTTTTTTTGTGTGTGCTCTATTGATTTGCATTTTCAGCGTTTTATTCTTTCCAAATTTGTTTTTTTGATAATTACTAGCATATTCTTATGGATCAAAAGAAGCATGAACTACAGAAAAAGAGAACGCGAATATGGTGTTTTCTTAAAAAAAAAGTCGTACAAATCTAAGAAGCGTTTAATGGGAAATTGGCGGCGATCCAAGCACAGAGAATCAACTACGGTGTGCTGGCGGCATGTGAATGTCGTGTGTGTGTGTATACATATGTGGCTGTGATTGAGTTTTGTTTATGCGACGTTCCGTTTCGTAGACGTGTGTTGACCTGCTTGTTGTTGATAGTTACTTTGTTGTGTAGCTTGACCTCCAAACGCTGTTGAGCTGAGATCGCTGCCTGATGCAAACCGTGCGGCGATTTGGCCGATGCTCTCGTTGCTGCCCGATAAATTGGCTGAATCGTAGGCAGCTAAACATGTTAATTGAACAAATTTTATTAGTTTCCATTTTTTGCATTGACATTTTTCGTTGAGTGTTGGGTAAACGAAAAGTAAGAGTGATAATTGCATAATTTGTTGCTTGCAAATGTAACAGTTAGATTGTGAATTACATCACTGCAAATGGCATTAATTATTCTCACCTTGGATTTGCTGTTGCGCTTGCTCTGCTTCTTCTTTTGTCTTGTATTTGATAAAGAATACATCTGGTTTCGATGGTTCTACAACGAGAAAAATCAAAGAGCAAAATAATTATCATTTCATTGACTGGCTATGAATCCATTAAGCTGGACATTTGGTGCTTACGTGTTGGTGGCGGTTCTGGAATTTCAATATTTTGATTGAATGTCGGCTTCTTGCTGAGCACATAAACAATTGTCTTTTCTTCGGTTTGTGGCAATACTGGAATGATTTGTTGTTTCTGACTGTAGCTTGGCGTCTTAATGAAGATTATTTTATAGTTTTTGCGAGGGCGGCCTGTAAAATGTGATGAAAGGAATCGAGTTCGATTTCATAAAAATTCACATGAATAATAAATTTATACAAATTTGAACAAAAAACGCAGGTAAAGAATGACACGTGTTAATAATCATAGAAAAGATCAGAGACGTCGAAAATCTATTCAAAATTTATGGAAAAAATATACGAAGGTTTCTCTACTTCCTTCGTATATTTCTTCCATAAATTTTGAATAGATTTTGGACGTTTCTGATCTTTTCTATGATTATTAACACGTGTCATTCTTTTCCTGCGAAAAATGAAAAGTTCACAAACGCATAAAATTCAAAAATGTCACAATCATGGCGGCATACTAACCGATTTGAACGAGTCTTGGACCGGCATCTTCCTCAGGATCTTCTGGGGCGGCATGAACGAAAAAGTGTTTGGTGATAATTGGTTCCTGGTTATTTTGGTATTGAGGTTGCGTTTGTGTTTGTGTGATTTGTCTTTGGGTAGCATGACCGTTGTTGAAAGTATTCGTAGCAAAACCTTGTGTTTGGAACGTTGACTGGAGCGTTGGTGCTTGATATGTTTGTGCTTGGTATGTTTGTGGTTGATAAGCTGGTGCTATATAAGGTGGAGCTTGATATGTTGGTGTTTGATAAGTGCGCGGTTGTTGGAATCGTTGGAGGCTTGCTTGGGATTTGAATTGTGTTTGGCCGAACTTTTGTGCAGTTAACAATGGGCTTTGCAATGGAACTGAAAGACGTGGCGATGGAATAGGTACTTGTGGCAATGGAGCTGCGCTACTGAATGGGCTTCCTGATGCTGGTGGTTCGTAGCTGCTGGCGCCATTACCATAGGTGGCATGATATTGAGTAGGCGCCGGATCACTTTCTGGCGAATGCAATTTTAATCCACTTGTCAATCCTACATTGGAATAACGATAGCCATTCTGACCATTTAAATGGCTAACATCCGCGTTGATCGCTGATAATAACACCAAAATCGTAACAGATACCTGATGAACCATATTCGAAAAAAAAATTAAATCGGTCACACCACACGCTCTATATTGACAATGTATTTTTTTTAATCCCTCATTTTGATACGCCACTAATATAATTTACGCTTTGTGTATAAAAACGCCATTTAAGGTGCTACCATCTTGCGTATCACTCACGGAAACTTAGTACACTCTCAGATTGGACAAAACGACGAGCATGTGGAGTGACTGAATTAAATAGAACTATTATCGTATCGAAAACCTAATATGATTTATTCCCATTTTTTATTTCCGGCAAATGCTCTTGATTTATATGGATAAACAAATGCGATCATTATGTGTCTTCCTTGTTGCGCACGATCGATTTTGCATATCATTAAGCCGTTGAAGTAGCCAGTAAATAAACATTGAGAAAAAAAATCTAATCTGAACTAGAAGAGTCAAGTTTAAAATGTCATTGACGAAGACGCACTGATAAAAATGAACCATAAATCCAAATAAAAATCACATTTGCATAGTTTGTTATAGTTGAATTTTTAGTGTGATTTGCGGACAAGCACACCGGAACAAAGTTTGAAGAAAATGTGTGGTTCAACGGCATATTTTAGTAATAAATTTTTGTCTATCGATCGATTTTACGCACTTCGTAAAAGGCATTTTGAGGCAAAGACACATATTATGCGTACGCATTCTGTAGGCTTTTTTCCCATATTTTCGAGATTCATAGTTCAAAACAAAGGAAAAAGCATAAGAATCTATTTTCGTTGCTACAAATACCCAAATATATTATAAATGTGTTTATAATCACATCCGTATTCGGATTTGAGTTTGGTGTCTATTCAATTTTGAAATCACACTCTGAGAACTATGTCACTTTCGATTTGTCGAAAAACCTTTCAACACGATGATCATCACCATTACAATGCTTGTCGGTTTGGCGGGAAATGTGATAATTTCGTTGAAGTCAAGTTAAACCTGTTTCGGTTGCTCAGTCATCATTTTTCGAAGAATATTCTTCGGTGATCAACCGATTAGCATTTTTTTTTTTCAAGCGCAAGAATTTCGAGAAAAAGACCGCTTGACATTTTGAACTATTTATCGAAGGGATTTTTCCCAACTATTTATAATCAACATAACTTTGGCTCGTAAACAAGACACATAATGAATTCGTCGTTGACAAAGAAATAAACCGAAAACAATCTTCTAATTGAAAGATAAATCCATGCTAAAGCGTTAAATTTCGCATAAACACCACGCTTTTATCGTCGACACACCCTTGAAATTTTTATATGATTCTTATCTTGATGGAAACCCAAATTAACTTCGGCTATTGAATAGTTAATCCAAATAAACTTCTTGTCTAAATCGTTCACACAAAATCAAATATCACAAAGTAGATTAGTTTCCAAAGCCGATATTTTTATTTTGTTCAACAATCAAATAAGCAAAAAAATAAAACTTTATGATTTCTTCTGGTCACACTGACACTCACCGCAAAAGGACTCATTTTGACCATCGCACAACAAATCTTTCATGCAGACTAATACCGATTCAAAAAACGCTCTCGCTTTTTATATCCGAAATGGGAATACGTCACCAACGGTCACAATCGATCGTCATAGAGATGCTGTAAGCGTAAACGTATCTAAATAAAATATGGCAACGTAGAAGCGAGAGGGAAAAAACGAGCCGTCATCACTAAACGAAAAACACTAGCCGAATGTCGAATGAGCGAACCAGCGATATGTGGTGGTAAGCATGGTGTCCGAACAAATTCCGCATGTTTGCAAAATCTTATGCAAAACATGTGACTCTGCGGCAAAAGCGATCGCGTTTTTTTTGCCATCATCAATGTGAATGATGTAGTTTCTTTTTTTTGGCGCGCTCCATTAAATTGCCAGTCAGTTTAGTGATGTTCTAACGCAAATCAATAGCTAGCACCGCAGCAATGCTTGATTGGCCAGTCATTAACTCATCATCATAATATAATCTGTCTATTATTTATGTTCGCTTCGGTTTGCGGTGAACAATCGTGATACAGGCGATTGGTATATGCTCATCGTGCGCACAATTATCAGCCGAGTCACAACGACACCAGCAGTAGCAGTAGCGTCTTTTGAATACCTTTTGGATAAACATCATAAATTGCTTTGAACGTAAATTGAACATTTAATTCAATTAACATAAGTTAAATAATTCATCATCCAAAAGTCATATTTGAGCGTTTCATTCTGAAACTGGAAACAAACGGACACGATTGTGTGAACCAAGTCGGTACCATTAGATTGGGATTGATTTCAGCACAATCCAAATACATTAAAAAAAACACAAGAAACATGCTAATTCGATCGAGTTCTATTTCGATGTCGTTTTTTGGTGATGCCGTTGACATTTTCAGAAATATCTAAATATAAATATTATATAAATGTTTTAAATGATAACTTTAAATTCTGTTCCGCATTCGGTTTTTCTTTGTTGCTAATGCACAATTGACCCACAGCCAAGACGATACTTACCATGACAAGATCTAGATCGATGTTTATCTATCCGTAGAATCTACAAGAACGAGAAGAAACAAAAGGGAAAAAAACCCGGACACAAAACAAATGAATAGCAAATGAAACACCGTCTTGATTTTATTGATTTTTTCTGGAGGAATGTGTGGATTTTATTCGCAGCGTATATCTTGTAACGATTATAAAACATTTTATATCTTAACAACGTCATTTTTTTTATTCTATGTTCTTCTCTCATTATTTCTCATATTTTTTATTTATTTAATTAATTTTTTTTTTCATCATTTAATTTTTGTCTCTAAATTTGTTTTTAATTTATTTTTACTTAAATTAGATAAATTGTTTCTGTTGTTTCATTTTTCTTTGTATATTTTGTTGTTGTGTTTGTGTGTGTTACCTCTCTCTGCGTGTGTGATTACAAATCAAAAAAAAAAGAAAGGAAAGAAAAACTCTTGATACTCGTCTCTGAATTTTTTTTTTTTTTTGGTTGTTTGAATCATAATTTTCTTGTTTGTCTTAAACTGGATAGCAGCAATTTTTGCGCGAGAAATATTTTTTGAGATATTTTATGTATTGTGTGTGATTCAAACAAGTTTGTTGAATTGCAATCGGTCGGTTGGTCGGTTGATCGCTCGCGGGCACGTGCCCGCGTCAATGAACGATTTCGAATATAAATTGATCAGAGTTTATTGGTGTGGTTTTGGTATCTCATCAGAGAGAACATCTATGTAATTCATTTTGGTTGTAGTTGTTGTTGTGTGTGTATTCATAAAATTTGTAAGCACTAAATAAAATACAAGTCATGGATTTATAGGTTTTTCTCCTCGATTCTCTGTCTCGTGTATCAGTTTGCTTGTAGCTGTGTCCCTCGTTACATTTATTACTTTGCTGAGAATTTTTATACAGTGTTTTCTTTTTGGTTGCTTCTATTTTTAAATTTTATTCTTTAAATAATCATAAGGTCATTTCGGTTTATCCCTTTGCGAAATAAATTTCTTGCTTTTTATTTTTCGTTTTAGTTTGCTCGTCATTGTTGTCGTCGTCATCTGTGAGAGAGTAACATTTTGTTCAACACATGAAGTATGCTGTTGTGTTAGCGTCTTTTTTTTCGTGTGAATTTCTCTTGGTGTGTTGCTTGCTAATCATAATATTTAGTTGTTGTTGTTGTAATAATTAAATTTTGTTCTCAATTTACTGGATAAATTCAATAATCGTTAATATAACCTGTGTTTGTGTTGCATTTTTTTTTATTTAATTCTCAAATGGCTTTTTATGATGCTATTTTTTTTCTTGGTTGATTTGGTTTGAGGAGGGGACAATATTTAAAATTCATAATAATAATGTACGCTTTAATTTAACTAGTTTACACGTTCGTTCAGTAATATTTGTTCAGGCATATTTGTCTGAATATACGGTCTGCAGTTGCATGGTCTATTGGTTGGTTACTCGCGTTCATACATTTTGAATCAATATCTTGAAATTTGTTTACCTAAAAACGTGTTCTCATCAATATTTGTGGTTTAGTTTTCGTCAGATTTTTTTCTTCTCTCAAAGGTGAATTCATAAATTCTTTCACTTGCACTTGTTGCTGTTCGATGCAACTTAATGCATTTCTATTAAACTAAAAACAGCCGAATCGATTTTTTTCTTCGTTGCAAACTCGCACGTTTAATGCATACAATATTTTTGTTTGTTTCATGTTCGAAATCGCGAGAAATCTTCCTTAATTCTTTGGTGAGTGAGTTAGTTAGAGTGGGTTGTGCCGCGCACGGACCGGCCGAGGTGCATGTGTGCATCGATATCGAGAATGTGCGTAGTGTATATTTCGATTTCGTGTTACCGGAACGAATACCAGAACAAACAAACACCTCAATCGGCCCCGGTGCGATCAATCGATCGATCGGCTTTAAATTTTATTTTCTCTATCGGCGCACGCATCTAATTTAAATCGAAAATAAAGTCGATTATTGGACGTATTGAGCACGGTTTCATATTTTTCTTTCTCTTCACATTCTTCACGACAGAAAGTCAGTTCATCCACTTGTTTTGCTTTCAAAATCGTATCTCTTTGGTTGTTTGCGAATTATGATTATTATTTTTTTTTAATTAAAATTGATCTTATTCTTTTTGGATTGTATTTTTTTTTTTTTTTTTAGAGTTATCGATTTATTAATAGGTGTGTTTTTTTTATTGGAAATTTTTAAACTAGTAATTTTTCAGCGGAGTTTTCTCCTTAAATATGTACATGTTCTTTTTCTGGTTGTATTTAGTGTGTGTGTGTGTGTATGAGAGTGTTGGTATTTTTTCGAATGAAATAGAACTTATTTCCATCATAAGAAATCAAGTCGAAGTGTTTGTTTTGGTGAACATGGTTTTTTGTTCAATTAAAAACGTAAATACTGAATGTGGTCGTGGTCACGCCAAAGAAAACATCAAACGTAGATTCTTGTTATTCTATGCAACTCAAATGATGACCTGCAGCAATCGAGTCGGCATTTTTTTTTTCTATCTTCTTTCTCTCTTTTGCGACATTGTTGATTTTTCTTCGTTTCATTCTTGGAAATGATGGTCGAGAATTAGCAATAAAAAGCTCGCTGGCAACTTATGGATTAGTATTTGTTCAGTTTTTAAAATGAATTGTCGATTCAGTGACGGAAATTTATACTTTTCAGATTGTGTCTCTGTGTTTATTTTTCTTTTTGTCTTTGGTATCTCATTTGAATGAGAGAGAGAAAAAGAGATATTCTTTCTAAGCCTTATGTTGTAATATGATTTATACAAAAAAGAAATCCACTTGTTAAGCTTAGACAAAATGAAGAACTTGGGCGACAAAAACGGTGTAACAATTTCAAATTTGTAATATTTACAAGTGTGCACTGAACGTACGTTTCAAACACGACACATGACACACACGTATAATTTTTCCGTGTGTTATATTGAGCATTTAATATCTCTCGTCAGGCTGCCACACTCCTCTCTCGTTCTCGTTCTCTTATCATTTTTCTTTGTAAATGGTTTGTTTTTTACTATCGAAAATATCATTTATCAAATGGCGTTGAGTTATGAAAATTTTGATTAAATGTTATTTAATTGTTTGTTTTTATCATAAGCTTCGATTTGAATGTCGATTTACTCTAATTAAATGTGTGTGAGTTTGTGTGAGAGTGATTTTCTTTTGACGATTTTGTGTGTTGTTTGCTGCTACTCAACAAAATCGCAGAAGAAAAAAATCATTTCATCTTTGGTGTTATTCATACTTCAATTTATACAATTATGGCAGAATTGGTGAAAATGCGCGATATCTTATCATGTTCCCTCATTGAATACTTGAAGCGACGAGAAAAATAAATGAGAGAAATTCTTTGGCGAATTTCCGTTGATCATAAGGGAAATTGAGGGGAAAAAACTACGTAGAATGAAAGCTGTGTGGAAAAAAATCGAAGTTGTTTGGACAGAAAAATAGCATGAAGCCACAGCCATTCAACGTTCGTGTGGTGTGCAACACTAGCAAACATGGCTAAACAAAGTGCGAGTGTTTGACGATGGGCAAAAAATGACAGGACGGTTATTTTGTTCAGCATTTGGAAATAAGTAGCTGGGCAGGCTGGGATGGATGATGCGGCACGCATTCATTTGGAAAACTTTTAGTGTCATATTTGATAGTTTCTTTGGCAGATCCGATCCAATTGTTGTCTCTCTATGTGCATTTTTGCTTCAATTTTATTCTCATTTCTTACTTGGTGAACGTATCAAAAATATTCGTACAAATGTGAAATAAATTCAGGATGGAGCGGACAAAGGCGAAACTTAAATACTGTTTTCTTTTGACTCTTTCTTAAACTGGTCCAAGAAAAATATAATGAACGATCGAATTTTCTTTCCAATATGTTTGTTTGTGTGTGAATTACTCGAAATGTTCCATTTTTCCTTGGTTAAATAAACGATTTTTTTTTAAACTAAATTTTGTTTACTCTCTCTTCCATTTCCATTGATTGATTTCTAGCCGAAAAGCTAAAAAAGCGTTTTCTGATTCTGATTCATTCCGATCCAATGGTCAACTAAATTTACCACATGGATAGCAAAATGATAGAAGAATGTGTCGTTCATCGAGATGATTTTATAAATTCTTATTCAATGCTCGAAAAGTAATTTCGATGATGTGTGGATATGATTCAATGTTGCTTCGATATAGAATGAAAGCCAACAAAAATTGGACAACCAAAAGATTGATCTTATCATTTAAAAAAAATATATAGAAGAAAATACGTGTGCAGATTGTTTCATGTTCCAATAGGTTTTTTTTTTGGATTGAGATTGCATTTCGTTTGTTTCAATTAAACTCATTTTATTACCGTTGTTGTTGTATGTTTGTGAAACTTAATTTATATCATATAAATTTATTCAGTCATGATTTTATACGTCAGTTAAAATCTAAATCAACGCGAAAAAAACACGTGTTTTGTGTCACCGACGGAGGGAGATATGGTATCTCCGAGATACATAAAATCAAAAATCAAAATCAGCGTGTGATGCATTTGAAACGCGTAAAAAAATTGACACAAAAGCAAAAAACGCAGAAAAAACAACAAAATCGTATTCGAGTAAAAATGTATATGTGCTTGCCATAATGGATATGAATTGGGTGATCAATTTTTGTTTGATTTTTGTTGTGCTAAAAAAAAGAATTCAATTTGAATTAACTAAGTGCTTGTATTTCAACGGTTTGCATTTGGATTTGTGAAATACAAGATTTCTATTTCTTTCTATTCAAACGCATCGATTTTTCATGTTTTAATTGATTTTCCCACTTTATTTCATTCTCTCTCCCACTTGAGTATCGTTTAATTGTCTTCATTTAGCTCTTATTTTTGTTCCTTGATTAAATTTGTGTAATGATCGATGATGATGTGCGCGCACCATTCGCAAACGAAATATTAAATTTCAACTAAATGTAGATGTTTGCTAAAAATAAATCCTCATCTGTGTTGTTATTGTGTTGTTATTCACGTGATATGCAGTCTAGATAAATATGCCTCATGTGTTGTTTTTTTTATTCATTCGTTTATTCGAATGCACGGTCGCTTCTTATTTTTACAACACATTTCTTCATCGACTCCTACAGTGGGGCGGCCGAATGGCGCGACAGCAGCACAGTGGTAATGTTCGGTCCCTAGAGGCAAACAAAACAGAATCGGTTTTTTTTCTTCATCTTCTCTTTCGTTCGACAAATGAAATGTGCGCTTCTTATTTATTTAGTTTTCGTCATTTCGTTAATATGTTGAATGCTTAATATCCGCTTAAAATCGTTCGATCACCTCGCCTCGCCTGTGAGGTGACTCGACGACAGGCAATTATTTTTTTTTTTGGTTTAAATTCAATGGAGACAGAAAGAGGGTTATAGAGACATGATAAAGGATTTTACTTAAAAAAAAACATAAGGAAAAAAGTGAAGAGACATTCTCTACTTGCATTGATTGAAGAAAGGGGCGTAAATTGGATTTGAAAAATTCGTAGGCGCAATGCAGCTGCTGGACGAAAAAAACATTGGCATTAGTGTTTTTTTCTCTCGTGAAAAATGAAATAAAATAATTGTTTAATCGATATGTTTTCTTTTTATCCATGTGTTGTTTCTTAGTGAGTTTTTAAATCATCATCAGTAGCTGCTGCTGATCATCCATTATTACTACTATTATTGCTGATGCCTCAGAAAAGGCAATGCAGTTGAGCTTTTGAATTTGTGTCATTTCTTCTTTTAGTTTTGGTTTAAATATGCTGTGAATGTGATTTAGTTTATCATTTATTTCAATGGATGTGATTAAGATCAATAAAAACGTTGTTGGTTTCTTCTTCATCTTCACCACGAAATCGAAATGACTTGTTTCGCTAAAAATATGGTTTATTTATTTGTTTTTGTATTTCTCTCTGGCTAAATTGTTTAAAATAGCATTTGATTTTGGTTGAGTTTTTCCATTGACCTGTTACTTGGTTTTCTTTTTCATTTCTTTTTTCCTCATCGCAACCGCTGTATTTTGCTCGTATTTTTCCTCTACGTAGATTCTAATTTATGATGAAAGAAGAGATATGATATTTAAAATATCTAGTGTCATTTTTTTGTATTATAAATTTTAAATTTTTTTCTTTAAATGTTTAAATAGAGTACTTTTAAATAATTATTTTGTTTTAAATAGAATGAACTATTTTTGGTTTTCTTTCGGTAAATTGTTTTTAATTCTCTTACTTAGTTTGTATTTGTTTGTCATAATTTTGCGCTCTTCTCTTTGGTGTGAATGAATGTTTGCTTTAAATTAATTCCGTTTTTTTTTTGTTATTTAATTCGTTAGTTTCATAGTGTTTCATTTTTTTTTTCGCACTAATATTTATGCAGAACGGCTTGACCTTGTGGGCGCGATTGTATTTATGTTTGGTGTGAGTGTATGTATTTATTTTTCTTTTGGTGTGAAGAGACTTTTTTGTTGTGTGTGACGCGAAACTAAAAGACTCGCAAATCAAGAGAGAGAGAGAGAGAGAGAGAGAGAAAAATACTATTTATCAAAACTAACCGACTATCGGTCGGCTGAATATATTTAGCACCGCTTCCTTGTTACGTACAACCGTCTTATACTGATTGTCAGTAGAAACAGAGAATAAATCAATAAATGAATTGAAACCAAAAAATGAACCGTAAGATTGACAGTGCAAGAGTTCCGGGTCGGAATAAGTAAAATTAGGTTTTAACAAGCAGTTTTAGTATTAGAATAGCCAGATACTACCAGAATACTACAGCCCAAGAGAACAAAATTCTATTTTCTTCATCTGAGAAACACTAACATCGAATTCACAGAGAAATATTGAAGTAGATTACCACGTTTTTTTTTTCTTTCGCTAAATGCGCTTTTTTTTATCGACACTATATTCACGGTAATTCAATTTTTTTTTTGGTTGCTTTACTTTTCATCATCCCCTTATTATGCTGAACATACAGTACACCAATTGATACATATTTTAACATAATAATCAGTAATTTTTTTTTTTTTAGGTTCGAATCATTGCCAAACATGATAATCGAGAATCAATCGAATGCAATTTCCGTGGGCCGGAATCGATGAGCAATTGAACACGCCGATGTCCGAACAAACCGAAATTCAATTCGATTTCCCCGAATGTGAGGCAACAACTCGCCTACACAATATCATTATTATTGAAAACGTGAACATGAACAACTCCAGTTTTTTTCTTTAACACAGATCTCAAAAAAGGAAACAGATACTACATTTATTCAATTTTTCATTCATGAACATTAATTTTTTATCTGCTTTTTTCTTCGTTATTCAACTTATTTCCGAAGGGAGATCCCATTAAAATCTAATGAGTTGCCACCCTTTTTCTGCATCCATCCAGTCACCTAGATTTATTTTCTTAGTTTTAAACCGTGTTGAACAACGAACAAAAAAAAAAAACATTCAACCATATAATTTTGTTTTTCTTCTTTCACTTGCCTAAATATTAAAATAGATTTTCATTCGTTTTTTGGATTTTTTGGTGCAGAGTCGACGGCACCCGCGATAATGTTCTAGCGTATGTCGTAAGCTCTGTGTCACGCAGAGCTCGAAAATTTCGTATTTAAAATAAGTCTTTTAATTCATTTGTTTTCATCGTTCGTTTTCTTAGTCACTGTGATAGTTGGTTCTTTATTCTTCTTCTTCTTTCTTTGTCTTGTTGCTGGTATACAAAAAAAAAGTATTGGTGAATCATCAAAAGGAGATTAAGTCAAAGAGAGGAAACAGACAGGCCGAAATATGCCCAATTCATTAAAGATCCAAAGCCAATATTAAACGTTCTAATCTGCGTTTAGTTTCCTGCTCTGAAGATGGATTATCGTTGTAAATTTGTTATAATTATCGGTGCATTCGACGGCACGTCGAATTTACACGCAATTGATAAACTCTGAACTATGAAAAGTCTTGCGATGTTTTGGAAGCCTAACGGTAAATTTATTATTATGTTTTATGTTGTTTGTTTGTTTGAATGACATGAAATTTGCTCACATTTGTTCCATTAACTATTCAGTGCTAGCCATCATCTGTTGAAAATGTTCCGTTCTGATGTGTTTATTTGATGCAATCGAACGAAACTTGGATGAAAATGTCGAAAACGAAGTGTTTCCATGGAATATTCGAACCGAAGAAGAATCAAAGTACTAATTAGTATTTCTAATAAGTAAAATGCGCGTATGATTTTGAACTGTATGTGGTTGTGTATGTGAGAAAGATGCATCTTGTAAACATAAAATGCGACGCATAAAAAAAAAAACATTCAAACTCGCTGTTGACGGATGTTTAAACGAAATGAACGAGATATATAATTTGAAATGAGTAAATGAAACTTTGTTTAAGGCATGATTATCTCGTTGTAAAACATGTCAAAATATCAGTTTTGTTGTTTTCTTCATCTTGTTATGTCTTATTGTTTGGAAGTGTTTATTTTTTGGGCAGATTCATTGTTCTTTGTTTTTGAGTCTGTATTTGTTTTTTTTTTTAGTTTTACAGTGGCTTATTTCATTTGTTTTGTTTCTAAATGTACTAGAACCGATGCGAATGAAACTTGATTTTAATTTATCGAAGAGTGAAAGTGTCATCTCAAAAGACGAAGAATGTGTGTGTTATGCTATTTGAAAGGTGAAATGCATCGACGGCTAGTGTAGTGTCAATCGATTCAAAAGACTAGCAAAAAAGGGGTGAAAAGTCTCCTTGGGATAGCATATGTGTGATTTGTGTGAAAAGGGGCAGAGAGAAAGAGCTTGAAGAAAAAGACGATCACACACTACGGGTTTTGTTTTTGTTCGTCTTAGAGGATGGAAAACAAAGATTGTAGGCACGCATAAAACATATGTAAAAAAAAATTGACTCGAAAATAGTCCATTGTTGATACCCTTTCGATTGGCGAATTGTCTGAAATATGATTTGTTTTGTATAATACAATCGTTTCAAAAAATAGCGGTGTATTTTTCCATTAGAAAGAAACAAAACCGAATATCCCTCTAATGCAATGAATATGCGCGAAGTAAACAGGTGAAGTGATTGGGCGGGAGAGATTCGAAGCCGACTGACAAAATCATAAATGCTCTATGTAGCGGGGCGAGAAAAAGAGGAGGAAAAAAAGTCTCAAAGTTCAAAATTGTACTTGTTTTTTTTTTTTGGATTCTCTCGATTATTTCTATTATTTTAGATCATAATTTGTAGTTTTGACTGCACATTTGAACGTTTGTCATGCGAGATGCGCTTCGGATCGCATAGTTTTGTCTTATTAATTTCAGTTGTTATGTACTCATTTTCAGCTTATGTTTCAATCTAGAATATTTCTACGAAATTGTGTTTGTGTATGTTCTGGTTTTAATGCAAAAATCGGCTAGTTAGGTTCAATCTCAAGTAAGACTTTGTTCTTTTCTTCATTTTTTTATTCTTGTAAATGTGAAATTACGGGGCATTTTCACCGTGAACACCCTTTTATATGTTGTATCTTTGGTGTTTTATGTGTGAGTGTGTGAGCTTTTCAACGATTCTATTTTGTTTTTCATGGCTTCAGTTCGATTATTTTAATTAAACAGTATAAGTTAGGTCTGCTGCTGTTGCTTCTGCTGTTCCAACGGATTGTTTTTCTTTTTCTTCTTCTTCTTTTATTTGCGTTTCAGTAATGATATTGCTTGTGGCGTTCTATTTTTTTTTGCTTGAGTTTCGATTTCCACTAAAGTTTTTTTGTTTATTTATTTTTTCTTGGTATATTTATTTTTCTGCTGGCTGGTTCTCTATTTTGTATTTTTCTTTGCTCTCACAAAAATAAGCTGACTGAAGAAAATGAAAATCAACGTTGTTATTTGTTTTCCGCGTTGGAAGTTTCGTGCGCGCAAATTTTCATCGCATGTTTTGACATTGTAAATTGCACTTCTCTCTAGTCTTTAAAGCGCAAATTGCAAATCGCATGATAGGCATTCAACTCAATCACCCATCATTTTTGCATTCTTTTTCGTTCCCGTTCGTATTCGTGGTGAATTTGCCGTCGTCTTCGTCTTATTTTGTTTCACTTTCATAGTTTATTGTTATTTTGGTATTATGTGTTGTTGTTGCTTTCCTTTGCTTAAATTATCTGATTATTAGAATAACTTTGGTGATAATTTTACTTTGTTTTTACATAGTTTTTGGTTTTTTATTTATTTTATTGATAAAAATATTGTTAGTCTCAGTGTTTTTATTTTTGTATTTTGTTGGTGTGTTTGTGTGAGTGAGTGTGTTTTAAAATTGGCATTTTAAAACACATGCGTGTCATTGTATCGAAGTAGGCTTTGATTCGATGATCATTTCATCATTATTGAACTTGTGTGTTGTTGTTTCTTGTCTGTATAATAATTGTAATTGGGGTTGGTTTGTTGCTGAGTAGTAGACTCCAGTTTGCGGCCGCTGCTTTGAGCTGAAGCTAGTTTGGATTTGTTTCGAATCTTATTCCTTACGTATTTGATAAAAGTAGAGAGGCGGCTGGGCTGTAATGTGGGTGAATCTCAATGAATGTATGGCGAATTTCAATTGAAATATTTGCTTGTGGTTTTGGTTGTTGTTATTGTTTCGAGAAAAGAAAACAACAAATTATAAACACAGTTATGTCGAAGAGATCGGAGATTGTTCAGTTTTTGCAAGACGCTAAACTCTATGTTACTTATTTTTTTTCTCTTTTGTTATATTTTCTTTATCATTTTTTGTTGTTATTGGTTGTAATTGGATTTTATTCATAGGTTTTCATTCGCATTGCATTTTGAAATATTTACACGCAGATTCAATATCGTTGTCAATCAATGTTGTGTTACATTTGCTTCCGTTCGCCTCTCTTTCTCTCTCTCTCTCTCTCTCGCGTTCGCTTCTACTCTCTTTATCTCTCTCTCTCTCCATCTCTGTCTTTCCGATGAACTAAGTATTGCGATTTATTTTAATTTTATTTAGGTGATAGCGAATTTAGAAGTAGCTTTGGTAAATTTCGGTAAAATTGTAATCAGGTGACCTGTATCGGTTGGATGGAGTGGCGGGCGGGGTTCAGGCGAAAAGAGCAAAATGACGCATGCAAAAGAGAATCAATTATTTATTTTCGTATGCCGATCATATAGCGGTCTCAATAAAAGCATTTCCGTTTGGACATTTCATCATCGGAAATGTTCAAATTTATTGGAAAACATATTTTTTAATCGGATTTGAGATTGTTTGCAAATAAAATTGATGTATACATACCCAGTAGTCAAACATCTGTCTCAATACTGACGGCCAACGCACTGTTGTGACGCTGTTGCTGCGTGCCTTGACCGTTTGTCGATGTTTGCTTGTAGCAATTGTTCGGTTGCATCGATTTTTCCGCTGACATAGCCGTTGTTCCAAAAAACGGAACTAAACGCACCTGTGACTCAGGCATCAGATTCGGAGTCGTGTCAACAGCATCCTCCAAGTCCATCATATCCGATGACGATTCAGACAGCGAGGATTTCTTTAAATGTTGACCTGGAAAAGTTGGATAGGCATCGAAGGGAAACAAAGTATATAAGTAAAGTACACAAAAAGCATGAAAATGAATATCTGTGTGGTCTCTTCATTCTATTCACCTAATGTTCCCGGCAAATATGGACAACTAGTGACGTGATTAAAGTTCTGACTTTGCATCTCTTCCTGGTCAGTTTCTCTGTGGTAAAAGTAGTTGAAGTTGCTAACTATCACAGGAACTGGAAGAGCAATGGTCAACACGCCAGCAATGGCACATAATGATCCAACAATTTTGCCCCACACACCGACCGGTCTAAAGGCACATTAGAAAAATAGCAGAAACACTCTTAGAAATCGGCATTCAACCATAATATCGGGCGCAAAACAGACAATATATAGGCAACTTATAAATTCAACAGATAATTTTTTTTATTGTTGTTGTTGTGGTTTTTGTTCTTTAAGTTTTTTTTTGTTCAAGTGTTACTTTGGTTAGTGGATAGGTGTTGTTGTTAACAGATATGCACACATGTATATATTATGAGATTATCCGAAACAAAATTGTGATATTTACAAAGAACATGCAAACATTGCATTCAAAACAAATTTTAAATACACAACGAAAAAAAAAGATTGTACTCAGGTGTTAAGCATTATCCGTACAATTTTCGTTTGAAAAATTCATTTTAAGCGACATGCAAATGGATTTTAAAGTGCAAACAGTTAAACGGTTGATTTTGTCCGCTTTTTGGAATTTAGCTTTCGAATTTTGTTGTTCCAACAAATACACTGAATCGTGGCGTGTCAGTAGGCGAATTTTAATGTTTTTGGCATGAATTTCGCATATTTTGTATACAACAATTGTAATCGCACTCAATTTATAGTAATTTGGTGTCGTTATTACGAACATTAATTTCATTATGTTGTATACAATTTTGCTGGCGGCTAAACGATCAATGTGCTTATTGGATTACATCTGATTGGAATGAAAACGTTAATAATAATTGTTTTTGTTTCTAAAATAAAATTATCGTATTTTGGTGGGATGATTTTTATTTCATTTTCAATTATTTTAGCAATCAATAAGAGTATGTTTCGAGCCAAAAAAAACCCAATCACAAAACATAGTATCGTAAAACAAATTTTGTTTGTTGACAACAGATCGTTGTCTTTTTTTTCATCTCTTTGTAATATAAAAATTGCGAAAGGAATGCCAATGGAAAGCTAAAAGTTAGGTGATAAAGCTTGCTTTGTTTGTTGTTCTTTTTTGTTATAATTGTTGTTGTTGGCAATTCGAAAAACTAAAACTAATAATTGAATAAAATATTCTCAAACAAATCTATGGTATATTCGTTCGACTAAAAGTGGAGCAGCAATTGACTGAGTAAGTGTTAAATCATTGTGGTGAGACTAAAAAAGCTTGGGGGAGGAGGAAAGTATAACCAATTTTTTGTTTGTTCTCAAGTGGAATGCAATCGTGATTATCGCCTTTAAAATCGCAATCGATTCATAAGACCGACAATGACATGACCCATTCATCACGGGGCTAGCAATGCGTTAACGAAAAACCAATTCAAACGAGAAGCACTTTTTTTTGTTTGTTTTCAACCAAATCTATCATCCATCAATGAATGTAGAGAAAAATAAAGAGAGAAACAAACTGGTTTTTAAATAAACAATAGAACTAGATGCTTCAATATTCTACTTTGCTGATATTAGGTCGAATCGGTGCAAAAGTGAATCGAATGATAATAGCGTCATTTATGCGAACGAAAAGAAACAAATGCAAAATGGTGACAGTCCAAGAAAAAGCAGCCCGTTGTCTCAATTCAATCGAACGGAACCGAATCAATGTGATAAACAAAACAAAACCAATCGTTTTTTTCTTTTCTATTTTTGTGCGGCATGTGACGACCACACCGAATCGACCGAATTTATACAGGACTCGTTTTTCTTGAACAAACAAAACAAAACCGTTTAGAACATCGATGGCTATAGAGTGGGAGGATGGAGTTTATTTATTACATATGTTTTATGATGACAAATGCTATTTGATTAGGTATCTGGTTTTTAGTTCGTTTGAATTCACATCGATCGATTCACCGACATCAAAGCGAATTATTTTATGAGCGAATACAACAGATTTTCAATTCAAATCAAATATATGTCCAATGCGAGAAGAAACAACAGAAAAACAAACAAAAAATGGTCTATGGAATCAAAAAGCTTAGCGAATGAAAAGAAATGCAAGATTTTTTTTCGTTTTTTTTTTTTTGGTTCGATTGTATGGCGTTTTGGATGCGAGTGGCGAGTTGTCGATATGAATGCAAATTCAAGCAATTTTGAATGCATTTAGCTGTCTAGAAACAAAAAAAACACATTCTTGTGTAATTCTAATTTGCTTCTTTTTGTTTGGTTGAATTGATGGTGAGTTAGCTTTTTGAAATTAAAATGCGATTTTCTAGGAAAATCGGAAAAAACAAACGATTTACTAAGGATTAAAATCAAAGAGGAAACTTGTGTGTTGAGTGGTGAACTGCTGATGTAATCGTGTTTCTGTGTGTTTTGAATGTTGTTGTTGTTGCGTTTGGTTTTTTTTTGCATCTGGAGAAATCAGCAAAACAAAAAAAAGGAACTCGAATTGAAATCATTAGCAATTTAAAAAAGAAATAGAAGTGAAGCGATTTTCCAGCATTAATCGAAAAAACGTAATCGAATTTCTCGTTAGAGACGTAAAAAAAATATGATGCGCGATTTGTTTGTGTTGTAACAAAAAGAGAGGAAGAGAGAGGAAAAAAAGTTCATGAAAATTGAAAAGAAAAAGTTCCAATTTTGATATGCATGGCACGCGATTCGAATGAATGAACAATGTAAATATTCGCAGAATGGCGTTTGAATTGTGTGTGTTTGTGTGAGTGACAACCAATCAAAATGACGCATATGCTTAAAATCCAATTAATGACGAATTGTGTCGGTGGGAATTGGGATTTGATTGATGACGATCGAATTTTAAGTCTCAACAATAACAGTTATGAATATATGTATATATATATATATGTCGAAAGTCTAATGCATCAATTCAATTCGGCTAGAAAAAATATCAACTAAAATGCCGTGTAAATGTGTGTGATGTGTAGCGAGAGGAATGTGTGTGAGTGTTTTGTGTGTTGTTGTTGTTATTGTTTCAAGTGTTTCAGTTGAAGAGTGTAGAAAAATTAATAAGTTAGCTTTGGTTATTTCATATAAAATAGAGAGATAGAGAAAAACGATAAAATGCGTTCAAGTCAACGAAACTCAATGTCAAAAGGAACAATGTTTTTTAAAAAAAAAAATGAAGAAATTATTAGGTGTTAAAGGAGAGAGAGCAGAGTTTTTGTTTGTTTGTTGTTATTGTTTCAGAAAATGTTTGTTTTTAATTACGTCATGTCTCCATAACCAACTGTGGTCTGTCAGTTTTTGCCGATGTTGTTGATGTTTAAAATGTTTGAATAAATTTTTTTTTTAAACATATCATCCGTTTGCCGTCAAACCATCCAGTTTTTGGTGATGTTAAATAAAATTTTTTAAAATTAATCCTTTCGTACAAAATTTTAATATTAAATAAGAGATAGAAACCGACCATGGTAACCACAGCCCACCAAAATGCATCTGGTATTGATTTGAAGAAGGAATTTTCGCTTCCAGCTTCCGCAAAATAAACAGCCGATGAGAAGAGTACAACGCCTAAAATTTGCACAAAGAAAGACAACACAGAATATCACGACATTCCTCGAGACATGTTACGGGTGTTTTGGTTTGTTTTGTTTTGTTTTGTTCGCATTTATTATTAGGTTTTGTTTGTTCATTTATTTGTTTTTGTCATAGTCATATGTTGTATTACACTTGAGTTTCCTGTTCCTGTTTTTCTCCTAAATTTTTAAAATGAAAACCATAAATCGAATGTAATGATCTGTGTACATATGTTTGGATGGCTATTTCGTTTGAGTGCGCCAGATTGTTTTGGTGACACATTCACAGTGTACAATTGTGTTTGTGTAATAATGTGGTAAAAAGTGATCAATCAATCGCAAACTCGTGTGTCATATTTGCACGAGAGTGAACCGATTGCATCGAGTTCAATTGCTGGCTCCATTTGAATGGGGACGGGGAGGATATACTTATATCATAACCTAATCGATATAGTGTGTGTGTGTTTCTATATTGGATGTGTGTGGTGGTTATTATCATCACCACCACCACCACCACCAAAATCACATATCATTCCCACAATAATTTCACCTAAGGATTTTCCTATTTTTATCCCGTTCATTCTTATTTCTAACTAACTTACTTATTTGCTAATGTTGTTTCGGTCGCTAGTTTCTTTCATTTCCATTTCAGATTCGCTTTCATTTTTTAAATTGCTATCACAAACAAACTAAAATTGATTCATTTTAAAACTAAAATTAAACATACCAACGAAAAATTTTGCAACAGAAATGAAAAAAATTGGTTATTTTAACAGAAAAACGAAAATAAATTGTGATGATTTCATTCAATCATTTTGTTTTTTAATTTTGATACGACATCGAATTACACGTACGACATGGCTCACACACAACATCGTTACGATATTAAAATGAACGAAAAAAGGACGAAATTGTTCAACACAAAAAGAAAAAAGTTCAATTGCTCAAATTGATCGAAATTATGGAAATCAATTTGTTGTTCACGACAATGAAAAACGAAATGTACAAAATGTAAGAGCAAAGGATAGTGAGAAAGAGGGAAGGCGAATAGAGAAAAAGAGTGTGCGACGGGGTAAAATGTTTAAACAAAATTCCCGTCAATTTGTCTTTGTATGATACATTTGAAGGAAAGAAAAATGGGAATAAATTATGAAAATTGAACGGAAAACGTGAAGTGACAGGACCACGACAGCGAGAATGTTTGAAAATAGGTTACAAAAGTCAAAAGAAATGATCCCAAAGTGCATTGGAAAACTTATGACAACACTTTTTTTTTCTTTTTTTTCTTTCGTTTCTTTTGCATGTTCTTTCTGCGAAGCGAAAGAAAAAATTCGCGTTCGAACAAAGTTTTTGTGTGTAAACTGTGAATATGGTCGAAAAAGTGTTGATTTCCCACAAGTTTCAATCTCACTTTGGAACGTTGAAATGCAATTTCTTTTGATTTATAGTATTGATATCGATTTTAAAACTGTTCTCGATGTGTATATTTGCATGAGAAATGCCGCACCGAGTGTTAATACTTTGTACATTTTGATCGTTTTGATTGAAGTATGGAGTGAAACACTTGAGTGAAATGTTTGTCAATTTCCATTAATTTCTTTTTTGCACAGAAAAAAAGAACGAATGTGAAACAATGATGTTACCCGATATTGTTGCGACTATTTCTGTTTGAAATATTCCACTCAACTTTTAAATATGCGAAATATTTGAAATATAGCCAAATATGTCAAATATACGAAATATCAAGAGGCATTTTTATGATCAAATAATAATGCTTCAACATATGAAATATTTGAATATATTTGAAAATATTTCACATATTTTTGTTCGTCGCAAGCCCTTCGATTTTAACAGAAAAACGAAAATAAATGTAATGATTTTATTCAATCACTTTGTTTTTAATTTTGATACGACATCGAATTACACGTACGACATGACTCACACACAACATTGTTACGATATTAAAATGAACGAAAAAGGGACGAACCGCATGTCTCCATATCCAACTGTCGTCTTTTGTTTTGCCGATGTTGGTGATGTTTAAAATGTTTGAATAAAATTTTTAAAATTAATCCTTTCGTACCAAATTTTAATATTAAATAATAGTAAGAAACCGACCATTGTAACCACAGCCCACCAAAATGCATCTGGTATTGATTTGAAGAAGGACATTTCAGCTCCCGCCTCGGCAAAATATACGGCAGACGAAAATAGCACAACGCCTTTTTTCGTGCCATTGGAGTTTATTTATTTGTTTGTATTTGTGTGTAACGCGTTCGGTTTTTTTTTTCATTTCGCATAACATTTTTTTTTCCGTTCGTTCGGTGTTGTTGTTGATATATTTTGTGTGTTTGTGTTAGTATGGCATCGACATTGAATCGATTGTATGTTTATTTGTGTTTGTGTTTTTGTGTGTAAAATTGATTGATGATCGGTCGAATGGTTTGTTGATATCAGAATGGATATTTTCAGAAGCGAACGATGAATTTATTTCAAAATGATGAAGAAGAAAATAAATGTAAGGTAATTAATAGAGTTAATAATTGTTACCTCTTCTAGATCAAAGTTTGAATCTTAGCTAGCTTTTATTTCGAAAAAAAAAACAAACAAAGAACTTCTATGAAGGTATATCAAATATCCGTGACTAAAAAGAACGTCTGCTTATTATTATTAGATGTTTTTTTTTTGGTATCGTTCATAATCATAAAAATATAGCAAGAATGTACTAGAGAAGCGGTTTATAGGTTTGATTTTATGGCATCAACTAAATACAGTATAAATTTGTTAACTGAATGGCCAACACTAAGATTTTTGCTGGCGTTGCGATGCGATATGACGATTGATGGCCCTGACTCATACGTTCGAATAAACAATCCCTAAAATGGTTTCTCTAGCGATGACGATTATTTTTTACCTTCTGAACTGAACGTGAAAAATATGTGTGTTTTTTTTTTAATAAAATAATCTTATTCAAAATGCACGCTTGTACAATCACGCACGCTTGATATTGTGTCATCTAAATGAGATTCGTATGTTGTTGTGGTTTTTTTTTTCAATTTTATCTTTTATATATTTAAAGTATTTCGATCGATGTATGGATTAAATAAGGAAGTGATGCACATTAAATCGATACTTACCTATAAATAAGAAAAATATTAATAAACCTAGTTCGCGCATGGAGGCTTTCAGTGTTCGTCCTAAAATTTGTAAGCCTTTTGAATGTCGTGATAATTTAAATATTCGAAATACTCGAACTAATCGTATCACACGTAATATTGCCAAGGACATCGCCTGATTCGTAGACTTATCCTGTTTGCAAAAAAATGGAAAAATTGAAGGAAAAAAGCAAAATGAAAATCACAGCAAATTAGAATGGGTGTGAGGATCAAATTGAAAATCAATAGATATGTTGTGGTTGTTTGAAAATTACCTGTGGGCTAACAGGAGCTCTCGGAAGGTTTAACGTGTCTTCCTCTTCGGCAACAACCGTGGCCAAAGTTATAAAGTAAGGAATGATAGCGATTATATCGATTACATTCATAACATCCCTGAAGAAATTTAATTTATTTGGGCATGCCATAAACCTATATTGGAGAGATAGAGAGAGTCAAACCATACGGTAATGCATTAGTATTGGGTCGGCTGAACCATGGACATGGAGTCCGTTGCAATTGCTAGTGGATGCTCACCTGACGCTCAGTTCGAATGTAAACCATATAATACATATTGTTTCTATGAGGAAGAATGGATCTGTAATGTCAGGCACTTCGTCTTCCTCGATTTTTGTGCCATTTGTTGTTGTGTTGAACACCTGATTTGGCGCATCGAATGATGTGTATGTGTGTGCATGACCGAAATTGGTTTTGCAATATGTTTGTTATTTTGCGGGGAGGAAAATGAAATACAAGCGCATGTGTGTAAAAAAAACCAAAGACAAAAATATAACACAAATATTACGATATTTTATATTTAAATGAATGGAAAAGCGTAAAGTGCAAATTGCAACTACGGATTTTTTCCAAAACGAAAAAAATCGGTTGTCAGCAAATGGAATGTAATTACCTTGTAGTGCTTAAATTCGGGTAAAGTTTCTAAACAAAATATAACGATTGAAAGAAGTATAACAAATACGCTAATTATGGCTACAACCCTGGCTGCTTGCGAACTTTCTGGATATTCGAAGAGCAACCACACTTTTCTTTGATTTTCATTGTCTGGTAGTGGTTTTTCTTCTTCTTTGATAAAGCCTTCATCCTCTCTGTGTGTTTTAAGCAAATAAAATTGAAATTTTATCAGTTTGGCATTGTATTTGTCGTCGTCGATGGTTTTTTTTGTTTTTTGGTTTTCGTTTGTTGATTTCGATTGATGGTGACTGATTGATCTCAATTCACACTAATCATTCAAGTAACGTGAAACGAAATCGATATCGTCAATGTGATGCGCAAAACGACACACGAGCCACACACTCCAACCTCACGTTAATTTTTACAGCACACATACACACACGTTGAACCTTCTTTTTTCTCGCCCATCATTATCGTCGCCGATTACTTGTTTCACCCATCGATTTACGTCACACTGGTATGGTGCGATTGCCACCTTGATACCGTAAAACACGTTATCTTTGAACTCGAGGCAGTCAAAGGTCAGTGTGTGTACGTGCGTGTATGTCCATTGAACCATGATGCGAGTAGACTTCGTGCACGTGGATCACATTGAAGATTGTTTGCGATTCGTTGTTCAAAATTATTTGTTTTCGTTTTAATTGTTGCGTTTTTACCTGAATTTATTAGTTGCTTGTTCGCCTAATTCATAAAATTTAATTTCTTCACTAAACACATCTAAAGGGACATTAACTGGTCTTCTTAAACGGCCGCCTACCCATCGTCGAATCACAATGGATTGTGTGGAAACAAGAACAAGATGTATGCGGAAAATGAAATAAGCGGAAAAGAAAAAAAAAGTCCAAGCCCAAACAAATGAATATGGTTTTAAAAATGTTTGAATGTGATTTTGCTGTTTGATCTCTCTCTCTCTCTCTCTCAACAGTGAGAGCTACGCAAAAGTATGTGTTTTACATTGGAAATACCTAGGCCTACGATATATGATATGTGAATGAACACAAAAATGAACACAGTATACTAACCGCTTTGATAATAGTACAGAATTGCATCAAAACTCGGTCGATTACGATCGAAAAAATACTCATTGCGTAGTGGATCAAAATACCTTAGTCGTCTTTGCGGATCACCGAGCAGCGTATCCGGAAATTGATTTAATGTACGTAATTGCGTTTCAAACCTTAAGCCACTTACCTGAAATTAACAAACAACCGACGAAGAACGAGGAGAAGAATAGGAAGAAGAAAAAAAAAATTGATCATCGTTATACCAATCGTTCGCATACACGCGTCGAATGTATTCATTTTTTTTTCATATTCAGTGGTAAGTATTTAAAAAATATTCCCAAGCCGTACTTCAATTAATTTAAAGCGATGGCAATTTGTCTTAATTAAGTCACGCACAAAATTAAGAACTAAAAACAAAACAAAACATCTACGTACGTTGATGACAACTCTTTCGCAAAAGTCATGGTCATGCGGAATTGGTTCAAAATGTTGTGGTTGCACTGGGAAACCAATTCCAGCCCCCCCTTCTTCATCTTGACTGCTCAGTTTGGGTAATGATCTGAAATAAGTACGGAATCTTTATTATTATCTTTTTTTTTATCATTAAATATTCGTTTGCTACTTCGTGTGATCTTTTTTCTTATTTAACAAACGAAATTAACAATTAAAATTCGTTCTTTTTTTCTGTGTTTTTATCGTTAGATTCAGACAAAATCTCTAAATAAATATAATATCCAGTTTGAAGAGAATCATGCTTGCGCATGCAATTTTTCATCGATGCTTGTGTTGAGAGCATTTCTCGGGCCGAGCCAAAGAACTAATAAGACTATAAATAATAAAACGGAATCGAAATCGAGTGCATGATAAATATGAATTCATGTCGTATGACCGAAGTCAATCATTATTATCATTGTGAGAAGATTTTAAGTGGAGAGAGAGAGAGAAAAAATGACGACAAACACACACGAAAAAAGCTTTCAACGTGATTAATCTGTTTGTTTAATCGGAAACACGAAATAATAAACTTGTTCATGAGATCGAAAACATTTTAAAATGTCAATAAATCATTAATTCTGCGGAATGATAAATGAATGCATAAATATGAATGTGGATGATGAGCGCTTGTGAATATCTACGTTTGTTGCCAATGGATGTTGCTCATTCGTAAATGATAAATCCCAATTTCGAATGAGTCAATAAAGCCTCGCGATTAAATGATGGCAAACTGATCGAGCGAGCGAACGAGAGCGAAAAAAAAACGTGGTGAATGAGAATAATCACGCAAGCAGATAGATGAAAAATAATAAACGGTGATGGTCGACGTGATTCGGATGGTGCGGTTGAACACCGAATAAAACGAAGGTGCACCATTTAAATAATGCAGAAAACAATTGCACCACTTCATGTTTTTGCATATAATGAGTTTTAAATAGGGTTTAATGGTGCTAAAACCGCACGGATTCACGTCTCTCCCTTTTGCTCTCTTGCTCTCTCCTTTTGGTCTTTCTTTTGTATACGTGCGCAATTTAAATCCGACGAAATATAAAACGTGAATAACAAAGCAAAAGTACCAAAAGACACACACATACACACAACCAAGTAGAGCGATAGAGTGTAAAATGCTAGAAAAGTTTTCTTTTTTCCCATTTTCTGTGAATAAAACCGCCACTGCTGCTGGCCTGAATGTTCATTAATATTTTCTCATCTGCAGATTTCTTGTTTGCTTTTCCTTCTCTTTCCCTTTCACTCTAGCGCGCGTCTATCCATTCATAACGGTCATTTAGCCCACTGAAAGAACACACATAAAAGTATCGCCGCCGTGTTTATACCATTCGAATCTCCATGGAACTGGAAATATATGAATTTCACCACGAATAGATATTGCAAACGGAATTTCTATTTTTCAAGCATTTGCTTTCGTTATTTTTAATTTTTGTTTTCTCTTTTTCCCCGTTGAATCATTTGCGCGCGAGAAAGAGGCAAAGAGAGCCAAAGAGCGGTTTGTTTGAATGGGTTGGTATAGTTTTGGGGTGGTTGTGCCTAGTGTTTGTGTGTGCGCTTGTGTGCAAGCTTTCGCAGGAAAAATACGCAATGGCTAATCCAGGAACAATACACAAACACAACAACCACCGTGTGCAGATGAGTGTAATGACGATGGTATGCGGATCAATGATTTGTGTGTGTGTATATTTTTTTATTATTCTTCATCGCTTTTAACTTTGTTCCTCCATCGAATACTTCCTACTCTTGTGCTCCACAATACACAGTATGTGCGCGCCGTAATGCACACGCTTTACTGAGCGTGTACGTGTGTTTGTGTGTAAGGGCTCCCCATATTTAGTTTTTCATTCTGTTTCGCTCGTTTCATTGATGACTTTCGTCAATGTGCGCTCCGGTATTTGGGTCACAGAATGACGTCATTTCGACCTATATATATACCATTATACGTATATTATGTAGGAATAGGAAAATCGTTATTTAGTCGCTTACGTACATTCGTCAGTTCATTGGTATAATTGCGTTTTGGTGTCTATACAACGGAGAAGTATATGTAACGGGAAGGAAGGCAAAGTGAACGATAGAGAGAGAGAGAGAGAGAGGGAAGGAGAAAAGGAGGGAACGAGCATTGACAATGCTCACTCGATTCACATGTGCATATCATATCGTGTCGTCGTTATGCACTCGCATTTTGCATTCATATTTTTGCCTATTTTGAGTGTGCTACTCGTTTGCGGGCGCTCACGCTCCAAACGCCGCACAAAAACGACGCAACAACGATTCATGTAGCATTGCAATAAAAGAGAGAGGCCAATAAAATAGACACACAGCCGAAACCATTCTATAGGCGAGTAAAATGCACGGCACCGTCGTTGTGACGTAAATAGAGTTTCCATTTCTTTTTTTGCTTGCTGTTGTCGTTTTATGCAAATGTTGTGCAATTTTTTTTCTGCTTCGCAGCTCGGATTTCTCTACTCGGGGTTTTTCTTCTGTTCGTTCATTCGTTGTCGTTGTCGTCGATGTAGTTGTCGTTTTGGAGAGCCACTTGTGTCTTTTGTTGCAATGCAATGTTCATTGAAAAGAATCTATTTAAAAAATAATGAAAAATGGAGAATTATGGGCACATCCTGCCATTAAAATGGCGTGTGGATACGTATGAATACATGTGTGTGTGTCTTCAATACCAAACTCGAACTTCGACTAATATTCATTAGCGACGATGTCTATTCAATCTTCGTGTGTGTTTTTTTCTTCTTCGTCCAAAAATAAATGTCCCTTTTCTCTTTCACACTCGCCTTTTTTACGCTCTTCCATTCGTCGTACCTCGACTCGATGAACAGCAATTCATAATGATATTTGCAAACGAAAAATTCATAATTTTTCGTGGCAATAGCACATATTCACTCATTTACAATTTTGAAGGGAAAAAGAACGAAAAGCAGCAACAACAGAAACAACGACGACGACGACGGTGATGGCAACAGCCAACGACACTGTGTGTGGTGCCATTTCTCCAGGATAATGCATTTTAAGTGAAAACGTAGTGCAGAATGAGAATGTGAGCATGTGAAATTGCATTGAATGTGCCACATACATAAATTTAGGTGCAATGTTGTCCCTATTTTTTACCGCAGGCACAACATAGCATGAGCAAGATTCAGCGTGATCGAAGAAAAAAGGGAATGAAAAAGAAACTGTGAAAACTTCAATGGAAAAAGAAAGCGAAAAGATGGTGTGTGTGTGTGTGTGTGTGAGAGAGAGAGAGAGAATGGGTAGAGTGAGAGGGAGACACAGCAAGCGTTTGAAGATTGGTTTTTCATGCAAATATGCATGCAATCGCAATTTTGATCGGGCGCGCTTGAACGGCTCGTCGTCAATTGTGTGTTATGTGTGCATGGCAAAAGGTAATAGTGCAGAAGCCCTATACATACAACACACAATTATATTATTAAATTATTATTGGCGTTGATCGGATATAGCATTGACGAAAATTCTAGGGGAATATCACGCTTAAATTATTTCAAATATTTCAAGAAAATTCAATTTATCTCTAAGAATCTGTCGGATGAAATATGGTGGATATTTGTGATTATGAATGATATTTAAATGTATTTTTTCGGATTTAATGCAAAAAATCTCAAATATCTCCAAAATCCACAAAAATCTGATTTATTTATTCGAAATATTCGAAAATATGTCATACAATTGATGTTTATTTCAAATATCTCAAATATTTCACAAGATTCAGGAGCGTGATATTCCCCTAGCGAAAATTGCGGCACACTGGAAATAGAAACACCAGAAGGAACGGCAAATCATGCAAAAAAGCGCACCAGACACCGTTCACAACGATCACACCGATCAAAACGGAGTGAATTGAACGCGTGCCGCACGATTTTTAATTGATAAGAGTGTGTGTGCGTGTGCGAGCGCTCGCGCGCACATCCGACCAAAATATTTTGCTTGCTAGCACCATATTGAATGAAAGATATGACGTTCTTTTTTTTTTGCTCGACTCATCAAAAATAGCATTTTTCTCATGTATTCAACAACGAGTGTATCTATAAATAATTGGTTCAAATGGAAATCGACTGATTCGAACGAGTAACATACAGCGTATCAGTGTCTAAAATTAGACATCTCACTCAACCGTTGAGCGGCGGCGGCTGCTGCTGCCATTGCTGCACACACATATTCGCATCGATCAAAAGCAAAGCCAAACCATAATATGTGTGTCGCTGTATGGGCGATTCGGTACAATGTCGCTGCCACAACAAAATATTACACGAGAGCAAGACTGTGTGAGCCAGCAAGCGCGCGCACGGACAAACGTTGTTGAGAACGTAAGGAGCAATTATGCGAGCTAAGCAAACAGATGATGTATGAGTAGTACATTTTGGTTGGAGAAATGGCAACTTCAATGCTATTCTCGTTGTTACATTTTTTTGCTGCCATTCGTGTTTCTTCTTCTTCGACTACTTTTTGCTTCTCTATTTGCCGGAAGATTTGCAGCGCATTGTTTGAAGAGATTATTACGTTAGTTCAAGTGTGTTGTTTGTTTTTTTTTTCCTGCTCTAATTCGAGTGGAGCGAAGTGGTTTAAAGCTCGTTTAATCGCTTACATATGCAGAAAATTTCAAGAGACATCCGGACACAAGCGCGCAATTTGAATATATATATATATATATATATATATATGACATCTTCTCATTGGGGCTAAAACATTGAATCGAAGAAGAAAGAGAAAAAAAAACCTGGACGTAACTGAACTGAAATCTCCTTATGTTTTGATTGTTTCACACAATGGACCAATTTCAAATAAAACCACTCGAGCAATCAGAACACACAACTCACACACATTCCCTTCCTCATCATTCCGAACTCTCACCACAATTGGATTCAAGCCATTAAACGATGTGCGTGCGCTCGTCTCATATCTCCTCTCTGTCTATCTGACATAGTACAACTTAATTGAATGGATGATATATATGTAGAACAGTCTTCCTGATATAAAATATTCACTACGATGACGACGACCACGATGGTGATGATGATCACATGT